TTTGATGACCATCAAAAGAATCGTGTGGTCGGTAACGGTAAAATTGACTGGCTTTGAAGTCGGGTGTCGTTCTAGCCTAGCGATTGGTCAGTATTTCACCGGAGACCAATAAAACAGCGTGCCTTCGATTTGCTGCGACATATATTCTAGGACAAGGACCTGCAAATTTGTTACAGTTATATTTGTACCTTAACTAATGTGTTCAGAGTAATTTTACATATTTTAAGGGTTGAGAACAACTTCCGGTAGAAATGCAACCCAAATATACTCGTATATATATCATCATTGGAGGTGGCATTATTACCGAAAGTTTATCTGAACCCCTTTATATTTTATAATATACTTAGTTTATTGCTCTGTAAGAAATATGTAAATGAAGTTAACGACTTTGTCTGAAATGAAATTGTTCCATTTTTACAACACGAACTGTGACAGAGAAGCGTGACTGTCATGCTAAATACTGCGACCCTCACGAGTGAGCGATTTTGCTCCTCTTAATTGTGTTTGTCATGCTTTCATACACTAGGTCTATATATATCGTGTGTATATGTAACTATGCTATATACAATGTTGTAATTGTGTACATCACACGCTATGTGTCATATTTACTATATGTAGGTGACCTCTTGTTACACACGTAAGTGTGTCGGAGTGAATAAATAAAACTTGAAACTTGCGATCGAGTTCACTTTCCTCTTTAGCGTAAGAACTTGCTACGGACGATTTCCTATCAAAACTGGTCGAACATCTTTGAAGCACCGCTTAAAAAGAAAAAAAAACCCATAAAAACAACAATTTTGTAAAAGTTCATCATAACTGAAGCGTATGTCATTTAAAGTACGCTTTGGTCTGTAACGCGCTATATACCCGACCGTGTATATATATAGATGTGTTAATTGAAAGTTAAAAGTTTTTTATGTTTCTCAAATTCATCATACATATATTCAGGTTAGCCTCAACTTACTTCTTAGTTAGAGCTGATGGTTCGATAATACCCTAATTACTGGGTACGTATTACTTCACGCTTGGTTATAGTTTTACTGTGTGAACAGCAAAGGTGAACGGGTCAGGATTAATTGGTGGCGGTTTGTATCAGCGATGGGCGTGTCTTGGTTCTGCTACTACAGTCTTACCCTTACCACATACAGTCTTACCCTTACCACATACAGTCTAACCCTTACCACATACACTTTCAAAAAGGTAATTTAATTGCAGCTAATCCATTAAAATAGTTTATTGATGCAGAGACAATTCAATTCAGTTCAATTCAAGTTTATTCCGGTGGCCTTACGAACCATAGGCATACATAAATATAATACATAATATTACATACATATTTGGAGAGTGATCTTACAGAACACAGAAAGTAACATATACATGTCTGTATACGATACACAAACAACATACTGACAGAGACGGGAGGTAACTCCGCGGCAATGTTATCTTGATTGCGATGACATAAATGCCGAGTCAATCTACCAATTATTACTAAGTTTAATGAATATACATTTTACACCATTAGCAATAATACTTGTATTATACAGACAGACAGACAGACAGAAACACACACACACACACAGAAGTATAAGTAATAATTATTTTTCAGGTTAGGTATGCTTTTCTTTGCATTCGAAATGATACATGAAATACATATGAAAGGTGTTTAACGATAACATTCGCTTTTAGCCAAAGTATGTTTTTCTTTACTTAACGGCAGAATGCTAAGGTATACATGGTTACAAAACCTACCTATTGCATACGTATTTGGAGAGTGATCTCACATGACAAGCATACCGAACACAGAGAGTAACATAAACATGTATGTATAGAATACATCATAAACATAATAATACAAGAAAAATTAACCTAAGTTAAATTTAACTAACAAACACATACTGACGGAGATGCGCCAATGTTACCTTGAATGGGATTACATAAGCGCTGAGTCAATCTACCACTTATGTACCACTTATTGATTAAGTTTAATAATAAATATATGTTGTACAACATCAGCAATCATACTTCTATTATACAGAATTCGAAATATACCTGAAATACATAAGTGAGGTATATAACGATAATATTCACTTTTAGCCAAAGTGCGTTTTTCTTTTCTTAAAGGCAAAATGAATATATTTTCCAAGATTATTTAGTTCCTTAACATTATTTATACTTAACAGTTGCAAAAGTTTGAAAACGCTAGGTGATTTATAATAATACCTTTTAATATACCTTTGTCTAAATTCTATATAAAACGGACATTGCAGTATAAAATGGAACTCATCTTCAATTTCAAAACTTTGGCAACATTCACATATTCTGCGTCTCCTATCAATGTTGTGATAGCGGCCATTTTCGATTTTTAACTGGTGTGATGACAATCTAATACTGGCTATAGATTTTTTATATATATTATCAATAGGTTTCAGTAAATAATATTGCATGCAAAAATGATCAATTAGATGTTTGTATAGGTCACCTCTGGCAGCATTTATAATTCTTGCTCTCATTTCCTGGGTGTAACCATCTTTAAATCGTTGTTCTACTACTTTGTACATATAACCATTTATAGTATCACTAGTCCAAAAGTAAGATAAACCAAGTTTATCTAGTTCTTGTTTAATATTGTTTATCCAATCATCATTCATTATTTAATCGCTCTTCTAAACATGTGGCCAATATACAATTTTTGGATTCTTTTAATTTTAACAAGTATTTTATAACTTTTAACTTTCTATTTATGTAACGTGACTGTCTACCAAGCTTGTAATATACAAAATCAGTACCTGTACTTTTTTGACACTAAGCAATCGTTTACAAAACCCAGAATGGAGCTTTTCTATCTCTCGTATACGTCTCTGATTGATGGGTGTATATTTCTGACTTCATTCAATTTTGTAATTATTAAAATATCACCAATAAAAGGAAAATAAACGGAGAAAACTATTTAACTGTACCTCCTGAGGACCTGTCTCTGTGCATTGGCCTTTATGTTTGACGTCATCGTTTTTTGGGTAGTAAAAATAAACACCTATTTAAAACATATGAAAATATTGAAGAAAATGCAGCAAAAAATCAATAGCTGTAAATTAACACTATTTAATATAAAAAAAATATGCGTGAAAAAAGATTTGATACTAATACATTTTTATTGAAATCGAAAACAATAGGAATACGCACAGGGAAGTTATTTTTATCAAATTTATAGGCAACTTTTCATCATTGTCTACTAAGTAATATTGTGAAACTGTCATGTGGTCTGGTTCGACTGGCTACTCTACAGGTAGCGCCAAAAGTACGTTGTCCTTGTACGTGTGTCTGTGCATTCCCTTATTTATTCCTAGTAATTGTAAGTATATCATACATGTATATAACAAACAACAGCTCGTTCTTCAGCATAATTTTGTTGTACAACCACATACAACTATGGTTCAGCTGGACACGCAAAACTGACGATCTAAATATTATCCATAGGGCAAAGATACGAGAGCTTTTCGTGAAGAGTCCAAAGTATCCAGATGGTATAGGGCAAAGATACGAGAGCTTTTCGTGAAGGGTCCAAAGTATCCAGAGGGTATGGGGCAAAGATATGAGAGCTTTTCGTGAAGAGTCCAAAGTATCCAGAAGGTATAGGCCAAAGATACGAAAGCTTTTCGTGAAGAGTCCAAAGTATCCAGATGGTATAGGGCAAAGATACGAGAGCTTTTCGTGAAGAGTCCAAAGTATCCAGAAGGTATAGGGCAAAGATACGAGAGCTTTTCGTGAAGGGTCAAAAGTATCCAGATGGTATGGGGCAAAGATACGAGAGCTTTTCGTGAAGGGTCCAAAGTATCCAGATGGTATGGGGCAAAGATACGAGAGCTTTTCGTGAAGGGTCAAAAGTATCCAGATGGTATGGGGCAAAGATACGGGGCTTTTCGTGAAGAGTCCAAAGTATCCAGAGGGTATGGGGCAAAGATACGAGAGCTTTTCGTGAAGGGTCAAAAGTATCCAGATGGTATGTGGCAAAGATACGAGAGCTTTTCGTGAAGGGTCCAAAGTATCCAGATGGTATAGGGCAAAGATATGAGAGCTTTTCGTGAAGAGTCCAAAGTATCCAGATGGTATAGGGCAAAGATACAAGAGCTTTTCGTGAAGGGTCCAAAGTATCCAGATGGTATAGGGCAAAGATTCTCTCGAAAAACTACGTACGCCAGAAAATGGGCAAGATGAGAGTATGCTGAGTTTGTTAATTTTCAGCGTGGGTTTAATATACCAGGTCTATCATTCAAAAACGAACCTTGAAATTCAACATGAAAGTAAAACACAAGTCTGTTTATTGACTTCGATATCCAATCTTTATACCTGGGTATATTTGTCATTGAACTACCACGACTCCTGATCAATCACGCGTTTATGAAGTCTATTTTTAATGTAATTAGTAAATTACTGATGGTGTTGATATCGCATCCTCTGGAAGCTAAGACTGTGCACCGAGATTTAATTATTACTCGCACGGAATTAGATTAGTCTTAGTCCGTGCTACTCGTAACAGTTAAGAGAACAAAATCCATTGGGGTTTTTTCGTTGCATCAGGATTTATTTTGGACATGTACTTCCCTTGTTGTGGTAGAAGGTTGCGTTACATTTTGATGTTTTCCTCGGAAATTTGTTCTTGTTAACAAAATCTCTGAATGAATATTTCTTTCAGAATTTCAGAATTTCCCTCTAAAGTGATGCGTTCATTCCGCACTTTACCCTTTGCCCTGATTCTATATCACTTCCGCTGTTACATTACTTGAACATTCCCTTTCAAAATAGTACTTGTGAAAGTATTTATAAAGTATTTTTAAATGATTAATGCATTCTTTCCCTTTTTAACAATCAATGTAACTATTTAGTATATATAGTAAGAAGGTATTTTTCAATAAATATATCTAAGTATCCTAAATGAGCTGTATGATTCGTATCTTAAATTGAAGGCTGTTCCGTCGAGTATTTTGACATGCATGTGGCACCGGAGCTCAATTATGTAGACAAGTTTATACTCTCGAGTAAAGTTGACACTATGATACCCCGATAACAGGACCCGATTAACACAGGTAAATATATGTTTACATTGAAATTTATATGTAGACTTATCTCCATTTACATAAGGAGATATGACGACAACGACAGCGTGAACAACTCGTAAAGTTTACATCAGGTTTTGCAATTCGTCTGCTTTTGAATCAATGAATGGACGTCCCTGTGTTTATGTCTTGTGATTAGGCCTAATGTTTGCGAGTAACATTTTTTTCGATGTTGTACTGATGAGGCATCGCGATTGAAACTTGTGTCAGAGAATTCTGTATCATGGGTAAGTTATTTAAAAAATCCACGTTGAAGTTTTAAGACCATGTACTGCTGATGATTTCCATGACAGCTAGATGTGAATTGGTATTGATAAAACTTTATTAACAAAACTGTCTTCTTTCCCAGCATATATCTCAATCTGTGTTCTATCTTACCTTTATCAACAACTCACTGACATTGTAGTCTTTACTATATCACTACTTCTTTCTTGTAAACATTGCAGGGTCCTGTAACACTAATGTCAACAAGTGATATTGTGATTTCACCTGGTATACACAAAATAAAGTTTTCTTGCTAGGTCAGCTAATGGGCTGATATCGTGATTAGAGCAAGCAAAGATTGAATAAATAGCTTAGCCATCTAAGGAATTATATTCTTCTTGCTAACTCAAGTTAAGTATCATCTTTAAATCAGACTAAAATACATGTAGAAAAGTGTTCCTTAAATGACTGTCACACTAGGGCCGCGTTCCCCCCCGACGTCCAAGAAAAATCCAGAACGCCGATCTGTGCACAGTGGAATCACGAGCATCGCTTCGGCAACGCAGTGGGATCGCATAGAATGCAGAGCGACTTTGAGCATATCACCAAAACAAACGCCGTTGCACAGCGTTCTGATGAGAGCGCAGTGGAGTCGCCGTAACAGCGCAGTTGGGTCTCCTACAACGCCACAGGATCGACGCGGGCGCGAACAGAGGTCGCAATGGAGGCGCTTGCATGGCGATCAGACGGTGTTCTCTGAGATGACACTGCGTCTACGGCACTTACAAGGAGTTTTATTTGGTTGATGAGGTGGTGGTGGTGGTGAACTTGCTTCTGTTTGCGGTGGGCATTTATCTTTCCCTGCCTTCATGTTTCTACCTCTTTTGGCGGGCATGGTTTCAACTGTTCGAGATAAAATGGAAGAATGGAACACTGATGGAGGTATCGTTTTTATAAGTAGTCCAAAACAACACGCCCTCAGCACAGTGCGCACCGTGATAACTCGTGGAAGCGCCATGAGAGCGCAGAGATTCGCCAACTAGAATTCCTTAGGAACGTAGAAACGCCAAGGTCACTGTGCAAACACTGTGACAATGCCATCTTCATGAAAAATATAAATTTTTCATTCTATCTTACGCCGCTCTGGGATAATTAACAACGCCGTGCAGTGGCAACGTGGCTAGGTGTGACAGGGTTTTATGTACGTAGCAGATCTTGACTGGGTCAATCGTCATCAAATGGATAGCTCAATTGGTTGTACATTCGTCTAGAGTTCGGGAGGTCCTGGGTTCAAACCTGAGTCTGACCGTGCGTTTTTCCTCTCCTGTTACATTGGTGCCTGTGACCAACCCTTGTGTATGGTTGGCAAGGGGATACCTGAACCTGGATTGTAAATAGTTGTGTCTTTGGGGGCGAAAAAATGAGGGAGGAATGTAGCGTAACTGGACTGGGTCGATCGTCGGCAACCAGATAGCTCTATTGGTTGAGCTCCGTCTACAGTTCGGAAGGTCCTGTCCGGTTCAAACCTCTGTCTGGTGATGCTTTTTTCCTTTTCTGTTACACTTATATTAAGAGTAATTATTAGTTGATTGAATGCAAATTTTCAAATCCCATCCCTCAATGTTTGTGGTAGTGGCCCATCATTTGGCTGGTGCAGCACAATTTGAAACCGTAGGTTTAACAAAAGCAAACCCCTACCAAAACTGGCAATTAAGTTATCATGGTTGTAGAAAAAAACAAGAAACAGTTCGTCATTTTGGTATTGATAATATTTATTTAATTACTTAAAAAGGTATCTGTAAGACAGATACAAGCACAATATTTCATCTTCATTGATATGAATATAAGAGTTTATCAATGTATGTGATCATGATCACCTTGTCGAGGAACTGCTGTTATGGGGCATAGAGGCAAAATCCTCATGTTGCTGACACAAGGACTATTGAGTGATTCAATGTCAGTGAAGTCTGTGTTATCAGTGACACAAATCTAACAGTACAGAAAAGATAAAGCCTATCCTTCCTGAACTAGACAGTATACATATATATAAGGCCATGACGTTATCCTGAGTTTCTTCTGTCCTCAGCAGTGTTAATTAAGGACCAAAGAAAACTCTGGCGAAGACCATGTGCACAATGTCATTGTTGTATAGTTAGATAGCTTAAATTGAGACTTAACAAAAGTAACAGTGATCTACAACTGTCAGTGTCATCTCAGATAAATTATCATTAGGGTCATCTCAAATTACATACACATACATGTAAAAGATAATTTGTCACTTTACAAACACTTGGTAGAAAGACATTATCCTACACTATATATAGACCTACATGCATGTTTATCACATAATCGGCCTGTTACCCTGCAGTGAATCCACCCATGTAATATTTTTACATATATCACTAGTGTAATATACCCTAGAGCGTTTTTCATTGGCTGTGCCAGTCAGAAATTGATTGTGACGTCATAATAAATATGGACAATGACGTGACGTCATAAATTGTGAATGGCGCAACAAAATGTCTGTCTCTGTTAGATTATAGCCCTCTACATTTTGGCTTTAAAACCTGTCAAAATGTTAGTTTTCTGAGTTATGTGATAAAAAGTATCTTACTTTTTTTTCCCATTACATTTGAGCTTTTATGAAACTCGTCTCGAAGTTTTAATTGTTTCATAAAATCTCATATGAAATGAAAACTCATTTTAGATCCTATATGTATATACTGCAGCTCATGATCAGGTATATATCAACATGTAGATGACTGTGTTATTATACCATTTCTAATAGAATATAAGAACATGTGATATTTTTATTGCTGTGATAGCAACATGATCATTTCAGTTTTAAAGGACATGAAATGCCAGGCAAATTTCTGACTAGTTCTGTAAGAGTGTGTTAAAAGAAATATGAAATATAATTTAAATGATGTACCCTCTTTTGAAAATATTAATCAGTGCCTCAAAACCATGAGTTTATTTGCCACAGACCTTTATAAGTTGGTTCGTTTTCAGACGTGATGTTTCAAATCCTCTGTGTGATAGTGTTATGTATAGGTTTTCAGTCATAGCATATCTCAGCCACTTTCATGGACATTCAACCCTGATATCATTATGTGTATGCATGTCATAAAGAGATGCAATATGTCACATACAAAAAAGGTTGCCATTTACCTCTTCAGTTCTCTAGATCTTTGACTTAAAATGTGTAATTATAGATTTCCTGAGCATACAGTATCTCCGCCCCTGTTCCTCCATGGACTTTAGATTTGGTCTAATGATACATGTTGTTACAACATGAAAAGGTACGCTGTGTTACATGTATATAGGTCATCACACTCTTAATGACCTTGAATTTCACTCTCGGGTACAAAATATAGGTTTCTGGAGCATATCGCATCCACCATTTCATGTACTTACTTCAGACTTGGTATGCAGGCATATCTCAAGAACCCAGAAAGTGTTAGCAAAATGCATACCAAAATGGTAACAATGCGACCACTATTTGACCTTTTACACAGATCTCGCCCAAAGGTTCATATTAAGACCATATATGTTAGTAAGTTCATCAGGCCTGAGAAAATTAATTGTGTGGTTTTTGTTTCTCTACTAACTATTTTGATTTCGACTATACTATCTTACAGTTACGTATATGGAACCAATTAAGACATGCACTCGCTTTCTTACAAGTATACATACCGGTAGATATTGAAGCAGAATTAAATATAAACGTGCGATAAAATATTTCCTACCTGCTGACGCGCAAGTTTTTAGAGGATGAAACCATAAAACAGTCAACTATTTTTTAGGTCTTGTGGTCAATATTTTGTACCATTATACAATATGTTTTCATATACGAACGTGGAGTACAGGGGTATTCTGATCACAGATCACCATCTTATGAGTCAGCTTCTATTTCAATCTTATTATATCTTAGATATAATCCCCGAAGTCGCCGTACACATGGAATATTAGAGAAAGTGTTTTTCTCCTGCCCACACAACTCCAACGACCCAGGTGGAGTATAAAATGGTCTGGGGTGGGTGTTGCGGTATCTGTGCTGTAGCATTCAAGTGAGGTGGCACTATAAATGATACCGTTGGAAGCACGGTCCCACTACAAACAGAACACAATACATCTCCAGCACACACACAGGCATACACACATAAGGAGATATTGGCCAGGTGGCATAAGACTAGTAGTTAGCGCCTGATAAGGCAGCTCCTGCAAATTCCTCAATATTGTATTGATTAATATATATGCTTATTGTATTGACTGTATTAAATTGTATATCTATGTACTGTAAAGTGCTTTAGAGTGGCTTATGTTAGCTAGATAGGGCGCGATATCAAATGTTGTATATTTTATAATCTTTTATGTAAAATATATGACTAGTCAGGTTTTGTGAGCGCCACCATATGCATGTATGTATTATATACGTACTTGTATCATGTACATAATATTAGTTTTGAATGTACTTTTTCATGGTTTAATTAATTTTGAATGTACTTTTCATGGTTTATAGTGTGGGATACACACTGACATTCAAATACAAAACAAAAAACACTAGTTTATTGATATACGGATTAATGAATATACATAGTCACAGATGTTTCTGTTGTGTCTGCATCCTTTTACATTCACAGATCATAACAAAAACCAGACGACAAGTCTTTATCTGCAAGATCATAATTAATCATTTCTGGATGTATGAACATGTGCTACACATTGTACAATATATACATATATATATAAAAAATATGTGTACACCGGGGTAAGTTGATGATGTACATTTACAGTATTACAAAGGAAATTGATATAAAATTTCATTTCCTTTTAATAATTAGTTAGGTATATAATCTATCACATCTCAGCTAGATCTAGAAGTGGGTTTTTCTCATATTTATTATCAGCTTCTGAAGCATGTGGCTGAAAAAATAGTCCAGGATGATGTAATTATAGGAAGAAAATTTCATTTAATAGTTACTATATGTCACATTGAACTTTGTTTCATTGACAATAGAAATTTTTCAGAGATTTCTAACTGAATCTGTTGTGCCAAGACTTTATTCATGAATATAATATGAAGACTTCAGTATATGTGTTGTATATATCTAATACCTCTTTCTGGGGTTATTATCAATTACGTATTCATACTGCTCTTCATACTGCTGTCAGTTACGACCAAGTCTAACTGTCACTATCCCCGTATTTGAATTTTGGTAGTCCTCACAATTAATATAATATGGAAATGACCACATTATACAATAATTAACAGGACACCATGGACTCATACATGTGATAAATACTAGACTAATTAATCAAGTAGGATGTTTATTGCTTACCTATTTGCATTTTGTAATAGTTTTAATAAAAACACCCAAGGCCAGATTATTTGTAGCATTGTCAGCTTAATGAGATGTTCACAAAATTATCAGAAAGAGCTTCCACATTTTGGTGTTTTTAATCTTCGTTATTTATATTCTTCATTTATATCATTAATGAGTTTAAAACATCACAATAATTTATAATAATATATATTGTGTGTTTAAGCAATAAATTAATATAATGTTGTGACATCTGCCCAATAATTATAATAAATGTTCGCTAAAAATATCTCTTGATCGGCCATTCTTTCTAATATGTTAAAAAGCTTGGTCATCATTGTCAAACAAAATTTTAACCACCATTTTGGTGATGGTAGCTATATAGGCTGTTCAAATCAACTTTTCTCTGGATCTGTTATCCATCATCCATACTAGACCATTCTTGTTATCACTCTTTCTCTCAAATTTCGTACGAAAGTTCCACCTTGTCTGTATTTGTTCATGTTTCATTTCTAGACTGATAAGAGAAAAAAGATGGCCACTTGGTGGCCATCTTGAATTTTGACAGGTAATTACTGAAGTAAGTTATTGCTCTAGAAGTGGTAGGTCCCCACGGGTCCTTAGTTGTGTGTTTCATTCTAAGACTTATCAGAAAAAATCTTGTGGACACCAAATGTAAAATAGTAAAAAAAAATCATTACATGTAGTAAAATTTGGTAACAATTCATCTGTAATCATATCTGATCATAATCTGCTTCACTAGATAAAAATGATTATAATTAGTGTTAGCCTTTTAAGCTAAGAAGTTGGGTCCGTAACAAGTCCCTATTCATGTTCAACCTTTGGAAATACAATTACATTCTGTATTACAAAATCCAATAAGTGTCTACACAAATAAGAGAACACAGGACTCTGTCACTCATGGTTATAATTAGTGCCAGTGATAAATTGTATGAAGATACCGTAAACTGTGTTGCCTAACTTTAATTTCCTATGACAGCTGCTGACATTGATGTTATATGTACATTACACTTACAGGTAGCTATAGCATGAGCGAGTACAGCCGGCTGTTCAGCGGGACCAATCCTACACAAGTAGTGCTCAACCCCGACACTGAGGACCAGCTGGTGAGTCCCTAATTTCTCTTACCCTGGACAGATTTATCCTTACTTTTACCGGTGTGAGATTTCCTTGTATCATCCTAGGGTTGAGACAAGCTACACATGCTTTTTGCACATTGATCTCCACAATAAATCTGACGTGACCCAGAAGAACTACCTTTATGAGGTCACACACATACAAAAGTTTGTCTGCTAATCTTGTCGTGTTTACATTTGACACCAAAGAAGATGGGATTGATTTTAAAATGTTTAAAATATGATGCGTGAACCGTCCAACACATACATATAATATTAATACGCTATCCACGTGTTCCTGTTTACAAACAATATGCTTCGTCTTACACTTGGACAGGAACAACAGGGTAAGAGAAAAATAATCATTCACCCCCTCGGGGATGAGATAGGGGGATCTCAGCCCTCAGGGGGGAATATTCTGAAGTTGCCAAACATTCGGCAAAGCCTCATGTTTGGCAAATTAAGAATCTTCCCCCCTCAAGTTGAGATCCCCCTATCTCACCCCCAAGGGGATGAAAGATTTTATTAATCTTATATGCTCTCTCTATACAGGTAGAAATATAAAGTATTGTTAACTTCCCATCAACATAATTAATAGGGTCATACATGCATACATTGCGAATGGTGGAATAAGGGAAAATGGTACATTCGGTGTGAGAAATTGTTTTTCGTTGAATTTCTACAACTTATGTTTTAAATTTCCATCAGGAATACCAAAGTGATCATACATAATAAATGGGTTGCTGATTGAACAGTCATAGACCTTGATTTTGGAATTGTTTTGAAATTACTAGGTCGTTGACTGTTATGGTCAAAGGTAGAAGGCCAACAGATGGCATTATATTTTCTGTTACAGACTTGCTATAGGTACTTGGCCAACAGGTCTTTTATGGACTTTCTTTGATTGACCTTAGCAGATGGTGTTGGATTTTTTTTTTAAAGATTTGCTATTGGCATAAGGCCAACATAAAGTGTAACAGTACAACTCTGCTGCTGACTTGATGCTATGGGTACAGAATGAAACAGATTATGTAACTTGTGATCTAGACTATAAAGGACAGGACCAACAGATAATAATGTATTGTAATTTCTATTCAACCCTTGTATTGAGTATAGGGCCAACATATTGTATTTTCTGTTCAAAGTTTACTACTGTTACAGGCTTGCTATGGGTACATGTATACAGGGCCAAACAGATTATTTTATTCCTGTTACAGATTTGCTATGGGTACATGTATACAGGGCCAAACAGATTATATATGCTATATTCCTGTTACAGACTTGCTATGGGTACATGTATACAGGGCCAAACAGATTATATATGCTATATTCCTGTTACAGACTTGCTATGGGTACAGGGCCATACAGATTATATATGCTGTATTTCTGTTACAGACTTGCTATGGGTACAGGGCCAAACAGATTATATATGCTGTATTCCTGTTGCAGACTTGCTATGGGTACAGGGCCAAACAGATTATATATGCTGTATTTCTGTTACAGACTTGCTATGGGTACAGAGCCAAACATATCATGCTATTCCTGTTACAGACTTGCTATGGGTACAGGGCCAAACAGATTATATATGCTGTATTCCTGTTACAGACTTGCTATGGGTACAGGGCCAAACAGATTATATATGCTGTATTCCTGTTACAGACTTGCTATGGGTACAGGGCCAAACAGATTATATATGCTGTATTCCTGTTACAGACTTGCTATGGGTACAGGGCCAAACAGATTATATATGCTGTATTCCTGTTACAGACTTGCTATGGGTACAGGGCCAAACAGATTATATATGCTGTATTTCTGTTACAGACTTGCTATGGGTACAGGGCCAAACAGATTATATATGCTGTATTCCTTTTACAGACTTGCTATGGGTACAGGGCCAAACAGATTATATATGCTGTATTTCTGTTACAGACTTGCTATGGGTACAGGGCCAAACATATTATATATGTTGTATTTCTGTTACAGACTTGCTATGGGTACAGAGCCAAACATATTATATATGTTGTATTCCTGTTACAGACTTGCTATGGGTTTAGGGCCAAACAGATTCTATATGCTGTATTTCTGTTACAGACTTGCTATGGGTACAGGGCCAACAGATGGAAGCTGTTGCTTTTCATCCTCCTGTCCTTCAGCAGCTTTGGCTTCCTGCTCCTGTTGATGCTATGGCGACCAGAACTAGAGTGCTACATCAAAAGAAAGAAGTGCCATTTGAGAGATGCAGACACGATTCTCATTCAAGTAAGACTCACACACTCTCTGCCTCGGAGAAACCTTATACAGATGATTATCCTAGGACCTCAATTCTAAACAACATTCTAAGTTAAGAATATATGGGAAGTTTGTAAAAATACTTTCCTTGGTTTGGGATTTTTGAGGACCCTTGTCACATTAATGAAAACGGAAGAGTTTTCTCCATTTTTGTATCTTACATCTTATGTTTAACAAAATGACACGGCAACTGCATTTCAATAGCACAAAAATTACAACAGTATTAATTTTTACAGATTTCAATATCATAAAATAATGTTTGCATGAATTATATCATCAGAAGAATTATTATGTCTTGTCAGGAATTGTTTTTTTTTAATAATAATAATATACAACATTTGATATAGCACCTTATCTAGCTAACATAAGCCACTCTTAAGTGCTTTACAGTACATATATAGCTATACAATTAATACAATTAGCATATATATACATTCATCAATACAATTTTGAGGAATTCGCAGGAGTTGCCTTATTGGATTCTAACTACTAATCCTATGCTACCTGGCTAATATCTCCCTATGTGTGTATGCCTGCGTGTGTTGGAGATGTAATCTCCCGAGCATTGGAACCTTTTTGAAGTCTACAGTAGTAAATTGATCTATCACTTTGAAGTTTGATGCTCTTATTTCTAGTTTAGTATCATTAACCCTTTCACCACTGTAGACCATAATGGACTCATTCAGATCAACGCATGGTCGAGTCGACTAAAGTTGCATATAGGGGTGAAAGGGTTATATGGTGAATACAAAATATTGGATACATACATATCCTTTCTATTCAAGCACTCACTGCCTTCATATTCACTTAAGTTTATTACACATGACCCAACATAAAATACAAATGTTAACTAACCATATGCCAGTACCTGGAGTTTTCTACCCATTGGTAATTATAGTTTAGTTCATAAGCAATGTGCATATTTGTTGACCTTTCAAAAAAAAACAAAAAAAACTTCAATTTCGTTTTGGCAGTGAAATCACATGACAAAATCTAAAACTGTCCAAAAAAAGTATGTACAATGATCCTATTAATGGTAACAATTGCATAAAATGCCATTGATAAAGTTGTTCTGGTTTGAATTTAGGAAATGCGCTTATCATGACAGCCCTTACAATCAGTGTTATTGTTTCTTTTTCAGGATCATGTGAAGCGGTGGTTTGTAAGTCAAGTGGAGACAAAGGGATTTGACGATCATATGTGAGTTTTTGTTTTTAATTTCATCAAATATATATTTATATTTATCATATGAATACCGTGTTATGCAGTGTCATAAAGCCATCAGATAAATTATGTTTATGTAACGTGGGTAATATCACTTCGAAAATGACGTCAAAATCGAATAGGAACAATCAATGTGACGTTACGTCATTGTGACACGGACGCAATTTTCATCATTTCAGAGGCGGCGAAGTGCAAAATATTCATTTCAGATCACAATTATACAGTTTACTTTGTATTTTATGATAAAAAGAATCTGTCATTCGTTTCCCTTCATATCAAATTCGTGATACTCATTTTGGATTTTTCATATTTGCTCGCCAGAGGTTCACAAACATGAAAAATCCAAAACTTGTATCATAAATCTGATATGAAGGGAGATCCTCTATATATAGATTGATACACTGTTATATTGTATTGCCATTAAATTTCAACCATACAAAATTCAATTAGTGATCTCATATATACAATGGATGTCAAAGTCAAGTAATATTCATTGTTGGACAGACTAGACACTGTTTCTGTACACTGATTCAATTTCTTTACGCTTTGAAGTGGAGCACCGGAGAAATACAACCAGTTTGGGGAATCTTCTGACGAGGATGATCCAGAGTGTTGTGACACCACCAGACTAAAAGGGGTGGGTATAACTTAGGGATGAAATCCTGCTGGTCAAGTTCTTTAGATGATGGAATTTGACAAATTTAACGAAGTCTAAAGCAGTTCTTGTTGAATTTACTTCAAGACCAACTTGATCCATTACCCAAAGATAATGGCCTTTTCAAGATCGAATTCTCTATTTCATATTTAAATGAGTAAACATATATGTATTTGCATTGATACCAGTGATTTTCACAAATATAATCTATGGTCAAATTTGAATCCATAGAAATTGTCATAAAATAATAATTATTAACCTGAAAAATGTAAAGTGTCTAAAGACAATTAATTCTTATCGCAATGAGCAGTGAAAATGTGAGTGCCATACAGTAATCATAACTGAGCTCAACAAATAATTTACTTGATGATAGTTCAAGTTATGATAAGTTATGTTTGAGTTGATTATCATTTAAGTAAAATCCATGTGTGGGGTACAGAGTCAAGGCCAAGACATCATGTCATGATGTGCCCACATTATGTCAAACACAGTACCGGTATATGGATTCTCCAGGAGCATTGGCCCTGATGATCTGAGCAGTGTTCTAATTACTAATTATATGATATCAACCTTGGAATAATCAGAAACAGCAGTTGGACCCAAATGCATGTCAGGAAATCAACAATACATACTGTTAGAATATTGCAAAGAACATGAAGTAAAGATTAAAAAACCCAAAAAGGCTACTTTGGTTCAACTTACAACTGTTGTTGGGCACTTTTTCCATGCTTTATGTGTAATTATTTGATGACATCATTATATTGTTTACTGTGATGTTCAGTTTACCGATTTTATCCATGTTTTCCGTGACCTCCCTGTATTAAGTAACCGGTATATAATGTTGTTATAACTCCATTACAGCCAGAAGTCAGCCTGAGGTATTTTGATCACCAACATGTGAGATATCTCTGGGAGCTGGGCGTGCGATCCTTTGTCCAGCTCCGGTAGGTAATAGTGGACCGTTAGTTTTCATCCAGCCCTGGTAGGCAGTTGTTGACCACAAACATTTTTTAGTGCCGATTTTGTTATGGATATGCTTCCTATGGTTTATCAGTATTAAAATGTATCTGTTACAAGTGTCCCAGTATTTTGGAGGGGAGACTGCTGATTTTAACCCTCATTCTTAAATTCTCATATTAGTAATAACAGCTATTCCCTAAACTTTTCATCTTGTGCTCAAATTCTATTTTAACAAAATTGCATAGATGATATTTGTGCTATTGTTTTGTCTTCATTGTGAATAATTTTGTGATACAGTTCTCCGTCACGAAAAATGGGTAAAATTTGCAAGAATCGATGCATTTTCAATGTAATCACTGTTTAATTCTTGTAGAATTTTAATCGTCTTCAAATATCAACCAAGTTTAAATTCATAAGTTTCCCAAAGAAACATTAATTTTTTGCACTACAACATTTGGAAAAGTTCTGATATGATTTTCTGGCGAAATATGGAATTACTATTTCATTCCATCAATTTTAAAATGTTTGCATGTAAAAATGGTAAAAAAATCAAAATTGGTTGCATTTTAAAACTTTTGTGTTTAAAGTGTAAATACAATCATGGGAATGTGGCCTTCATTATTTTGAATTCCTATTAAAAAAATGAATAAAGGCATATTTTCACATACTCCAACAGTGTCGGAGGTTTACACGGCTAGATAGTTTGACAGTCGGCATAATCATATCCAATAGAAAAAAGGGTGACCAGCGGCCTCTTATGTTATAGGAGTAATTTTCACAGTGCTTGATCAACCCATGACTTGTATTATGACCACCCGACTGTTTTTTTCCAGGGATCTCTCCCACAACACAAAATGTTCAACAATTATGGAGAAATTCCAGGGCCTGTCGAAGGTGGAGCAGGCTCAGAAGTAGGTGACCAGTGTAGATTTACACAACTTCTTCTGAAAGCTTATTCTTCAAATTATTTCACATTTTTTTTATTTCTGCACTACATTTTTCATGAAATTTACTTCCAAGATTGATGGATTACCTGTAAAACAATAAAACCTCTGACAATAAAATGACCTTTGCTTATACACTATAAAACTTATAATACCATTCATTTGCTTTGCAACGTACCTCAATTACTGCCATCAAATTTTATACATGTGCTAACATCACAGACATACCGTCAAACAGAATATCAACTTATACAAACAAACTGTGATCATAGGAAATATAAATATTCTCAAGATTGACAAATTCTGATGTGTTACACAAAAGTAAAAGTAAAAAAACTTAAGTGAAATAAAAAATGTGATGTTTATTTGATTGTAAATGTTACAGACAGGTTGTGTATGGAGCAAATCTGATAGATGTGGAGGTCAAGTCCTACTGGAGACTTTTTATTGAGGAGGTGAGTACATACAGAGTACAGTACTGTGTGGAGGGCCATCAAGTCTATCCTCTGTTAATTTTGTGAACACATTAAATATAATCTGCTGTATCCCACTGCCTAGGAGGCTAATAATGTACAGTAAGACTCAATTTTGCTAAATTTTCTTCTGTATCCCTTTATCGTGAAACAATAGAGAGACATAATCGATCTGCTGACCCCATCGTAATACTTTTGAGATATTCCAATATTTTCTTTTCCACTCTTCATTTGTATCTGCTTAGGCAGTTCTGGTTATCACATTGTCATTGTAATTAATCTGGCAAGAGAGTCAATCTACCATGTCTTCATCATGATATTTCAACATGGTGACATCATCAACGGTAGACCAAATTGCCTCATGGCCTTCATTGTTGTAAGAATGTAAAACCACAAAGAGACAAATCATCATGTGTATTCTCTTTGTGGTAGGATAAATCTTACAAATAGAATTCTAGCTGTGTACCAAGCGCTGTTTTTAGCAGTAATCTGTAATGTTATGCTTTAAAATAAAGAATAATAATAATTTGTGTAGTTCATAGGTCGTCTCAAAGCGGTTCACAAATTATTATAGGGCCTTTGAAAGCAGCCAATATCTTTCTCAACTCCCTGGGGAGCATACAGCCGGTGCTGCCATTTGGACGCTCACAGCTAGCATTCTACAATTCTAGATCTGCCCAAGCACGTACTCATTTACAGCTGAGTAAACTGGAACAAGCGGTGTAAAGTATACAACACAGTGCCGTGCTGTGACTCGAACCTACAACCCTTCTGTCACGAGTCTGGCGTCCTACCACTAGACTACTGTGCCTTCAATTACACTAATATTGTTTATACTCTAAAATGACACTGATATATAGTTGAGAACGGAATATACAGTAGTACCCATCTTTTTGTTATAGGTGATGAATCCCTTCTATATATTCCAAATCTTCAGCATCGTACTGTGGTTGATGGACGACTATTACTACTATGCGGCCTGTATATTCCTCATCTCTGTCATCTCCATATGTATCTCACTGCACCAGATCAAGAAGGTAAATATGCAAAGAGCATTGCTGAAAAAAACATAACTAAAAATAAGTTGACACATAAAAGGTCGTCATGAGGAAGACATTCTGTTAACTCATTCACCCCTGAAGACACATTTGAACTCTTCAAATTCAATGGTTGGAATAGTTCATTATGAAATTTCAGGGGTGAATGAGTAAAGTGTTTGTAAGATTTAATAAAAGCAATGCTGTTCAACTCCTAACAAAAGCACTAAGTAAAAGTGTCCTTGGTTGTATATGCAAGAAGTTTGACCTTCCAACGCTACGTTTGTATTACAGAAGGCACATAAAAACATGTTTAATACAATTTGGGTGGTTGGATGGCGCACTGGATAGTGCACTTGCCTTTCATGATCACTAGCTGCTTTCACCAAGGGTTCCCTTCCTTGATTAGATATGAAAACGTATGGGGTCACCTGCCCGACCCCGTGGGTTTTCTCCAGGTTCTCCGGTTTCCTCTCACATTAAGGCCCCCTGTACGCTAACATCTGGGCCAACAAGAGTGATGATATTAGTTGAAATAACTTGTTTCACAATTTTTGTAAAATAAATAAAGTTTATATTTAATGCTCAGTGCTCAGGTGAACCCTAGTCACGCTATGACTGACTTTAGTATTGATTTATAGATATAGGTCACTATTGTGGTACATTTCTCCTGTACATGTAAATCTGAAGGAGCCTCGTGATACTCAACATGTACTTTGTGATCAGATATCAGAACAAGCTGATGTTCCTACAATGGAACTGTTGAGTAATAGAAAGTTGATTTTAAATTATTCATTTAAAAAAAAAATATATATATATGATATTTATTTTAAAGTCTGTTTTAACACGTATGTTGAATATTCCCATGATATTTTAATTCCTTGCCTAGTCCATACAAGGTGGGTCAACATTCAGCCCCCACTCCTTTTTAACACCAAAAAAGTCTGTCAAACAAATATTAGAGATTAACAGTATTAATACACAGCCTGAACGTTCTCGGCTTCTAACTATGTATGTTAAGTAATTTAATAGAAAGGTAAGTATTTAATGTGTAACAGTTTTATACCCCCTCCTAATTGAAGTTAGCAGGAGATATAAAAACTATTTTGTCTGAATGCACCCGACTTTCATTACAAGATCATTTCTGAAAGCCATATACATTTCATCAATACGGAAACATAATTTAAAGCAAGTAGCACAGATGTGACTTTTACTGTTTCGTACAATTAATGAATGGCCATATATGACTTATACCATGCATACAGCCAATGTTTTAAAAGTAAAATGGTATATGAGCATCTTCTCCACATTGAGTGCAACACATTTTATGTTTAGGAAGGAGTTTTATTGCGACATCATTAACTCAGATATGAACCAGGTATACTAATGGTTTTGTTTGACTGGAATGTGTTGAAAGATTGGTGGCAATGATATTAGCATGTCCATTGTGTTATAAGCCTCGGTTTTTTCCGTCCTGTCCACATCCTAAGCGTTGTCTTTGATGATCTCCATGATGTAAGCCTGGGTTTTCCCTTATGACTTGCTTTGATTTGAACTAGGAGCAGTCATGTACTAAAATCATATTTGTATTTTTCAATACGAAAAAGTGCCAATCGCCATAAAAGTTCCTTCTCCAGAAATGTATATACACAATTGGATATGTATCTTAACCATTTCACCCCTAGGTAACTTTAGTAAACACTTTCATGCTTTGATCTGGATGGGTCGATTATAACAACTTTGATACGTTGGACACAATTTCATTAGTATACAGTTGTTTTCACCAAACCTTCTGCATGTGGTGTTGCCATTGACAGTGGATGTGTTATGTTTATGGGTAAGTTTGCGTTGTAAATATGTATCCAAAGATTTCACAACATCCTATCTGTTGAACAGATGTTACCATTTGTGAAGATACTGTATCAGGAGATATATCAAATGAAAACATTTAAGTTATTTCAGCATTAAGGATAATGTCAGTAAAGTCATATCCTGGCTCATATAAAAAATACAACAAAGTTGAAGAGATACATTGTATGTTATATCAGCATCCTAATAGACTTTATTTGGGAAAAAACAGATCACATAAAATGGAAAATTTGTCATTTGTAGGCTAAATAAAAATTCTGATGGTTTGCTTTCATTATGGTTTCTTCAAATTATTGATGAAAACATGAAATATTCATGAGTTAATACCTTTGTAGTTAAGTACTAGTTTTCAAAGTCAGTAGGCCGGTGTAATCTGGAATCAGTACATTTGTTACATGTACGCTTAATTTACTTAAATTTCCAATTCAAATGTAGCCACAAAAACATAAAAGAAAGTACACTGCAGAAGTGTTCAGTGTTTATGAACCCCTCAATCTTCTCTTTCAAAAGGAATCAGTAATTTGGGTAATTCATTTTAGTCATTTCTTGTTCAAATGCTACTTTAACCCATTCGCCCCTCTAATTTTATAATGAACTATTCCAACCTTTGAATTGGAAGAGTTCAAATGTGTCATAAGGGGTGAATAAGTTAAAACTGGTGACAGCAGAAATCTCAAACTTGGCAAGTGGTTGCCCTAGTGAAGAAGACCAGTCCTACATAGTTTGGGTGAGGTTCATCAAAGATCAGGGTCAATGTTTCTAAAAATAGCAGTGTTTGCCAGATTCAAACAAATGATCACACAAAGCTCAGAATTGGTATGTTGCAGGGTGCAGGGTTCAGCAAAGAGGAAGAAATCCATACATGGTGGATTTTACTAAAATAAAAAATAGAAATTCAGAGATATTACATGGTTGCACAAAGAAGCTCAGACTTGGTTTGTAGCTATATATTGCTCTTGAGAAGAGGAAGACATTCAAGAGCCTTATTGATTTTGGCTATGGATGGTCAAAGATTAACCCTTTCACCACTGTAGACCATAATGGACTCATTCAGATCAATGCTTGGTAGAGTCTACTTAAGTTACATAGGGGTGAAAAGGTTAAGGTCACTTACTAAAAATATAATTGTTATTGATGTTTTCGATTTCTGTGTAATTTGACTTCAATCATTTGCATTCTACATGTATGTTATTTACTATTTCTGAATAAGTTACAGGTCAATCTATATTCAAAACACCTAAAGACATATAACTTTTATGATATGTATTAATAACTGTTTCTCAATATCTTGAATCTTTCAGCAAAGTATAGCTCTTCATGATATGGTGGCGGTCACTGAACAGACAATGGAAATTTGTTTGGGACAAGGAAGAGGTGAGTCTGGGACATGGTGATGTAAATACAAAATAAGGAGGAGATAAAACATTACCAATGGCAGTGGAGTGATAAGTCTTAATTACTGACAATTGGAGCTAGACTCATCTGAATCAAGAAGATTGTGACTCAAATATTAGAGTAATTCGCTCAGGAAATAAAACAGGATAAGTGTGGGAGGGAAAATATAAGCCAAAATGATTCCCTCAGGAAATAGAACAACAGGATAAGTGTGGGAGGGAAAATATGAGCCAAAATAATTCCCTCAGGAAATAGAACAACAGGATAAGTGTAGGAGAGAAAATATGCGTCAAAATAATTCCCTCAGGAAATAGAACAACAGGATAAGTGTGGGAGGGAAAATATGAGCCAAAATGATTCCCTCAGGAAATAGAACAACAGGATAAGTGTGTGAGGGAAAATATGAGCCAAAATAATTCCCTCAGGAACTAGAACAACAGGATAAGTGGGAGGGAAAATATGAGCCAAAATAATTCTCTCAGGAAATAAAACAGGATAAGTGTGGGAGGGAAAATATGAGCCAAAATGATTCCCTCAGGAAATAGAACAACAGGATAAGTGTGGGAGGGAAAATATAAGCCAAAATGATTCCCTCAGGAAATAGAACAACAGGATAAGTGTAGGAGGGAAAATATGAACCAAAATAATTCTCTCGGGGATATAGAACAACAGGATAAGTGTGGAGGGAAAATATGATCCAAAATAATTCCTTCAGGAAATAGAACAACAGGATAAGTGTGGGAGGGAAAATATAAGCCAAAATGATTCCCTCAGGAAATAGAACAACAGGATAAGTGTAGGAGGGAAAATATGAACCAAAATAATTCTCTCGGGGATATAGAACAACAGGATAAGTGTGGGAGGGAAAATATGAGCCAAAATAATTCCCTCAGGAAATAGAACAACAGGATAAGTGTGGGAGGGAAAATATGAGTCAAAATAATTCCCTCAGGAAATAGAGCAACAGGATAAGTGTGGGAGGGAAAATATGAGCCAAAAAGATTCCCTCAGGAAAAAGAACAACAGGATAAGTGTAGGAGGGAAAATATGAACCAAAATAATTCTCTCGGGGATGTAGAACAACAGGATAAGTGTGGGAGGGAAAATATGAGTCAAAATAATTCCCTCAGGAAATAGAGCAACAGGATAAGTGTGGGAGGGAAAATATGAGCCAAAAAGATTCCCTCAGGAAAAAGAACAACAGGATAAGTGTAGGAGGGAAAATATGAACCAAAATAATTCTCTCGGGGCTATAGAACAACAGGATAAGTGTGGGAGGGAAAATATGAGCCAAAAAGATTCCCTCAGGAAATAGAACAACAGGATAAGTGTAGGAGGGAAAATATTAGCCAAAATAATTCCCTCAGGAAATAGAACAACAGGATAAGTGTAGGAGGAAAAATATGAGCCAAAAAGATTCCCTCAGGAAATAGAACAACAGGATAAGTGTAGGAGGAAAAATATGAGCCAAAAAGATTCCCTCAGGAAATAGAACAACAGGATAAGTGTAGGAGGAAAAATATGAGCCAAAAAGATTCCCTCAGGAAATAGATCAACAGGATAAGTGTAGGAGGGAAAATATGAGCCAAAAAGATTCCCTCAGGAAAAAGAACAACAGGATAAGTGTAGGAGGGAAAATATGAACCAAAATAATTCTCTCGGGGATGTAGAACAACAGGATAAGTGTGGGAGGGAAAATATGAGCCAAAAAGATTCCCTCAGGAAATAGATCAACAGGATAAGTGTAGGAGGGAAAATATGAGTCAAAATAATTCCCTCAGGAAATAGAACAACAGGATAAGTGTGGGAGGGAAAATATGAGCCAAAAAGGATGTTAATCTTAGCAAATAGTCGTTAAGTCTTAGATATTGAAAGTTTGTGTCTTGGACAAAAAGAAGAAGAATGATTTGTTGTTTTCTGTAGTGTATCATATCTTGTTTTGTTTGGTGTTATTGGGTTAAGCATCCTTTTAACAGCTTGTGTTATTTTTTTCTCTGGCAGGATATGAAAAGGTTCCAACATCATGCCTGGTGCCCGGAGATTTGATAGTACTCCCACAGAACGGATGTACAATGACGTGTGATGCCGTGCTTGTAACAGGAACCTGTATAGTCAACGAGAGCATGCTCACTGGTATAATAATAATAATATAATAATAATAAACTTCATTTTCTAAGGATAAAACCACAGGGTCGGTCCTCTTGTTATTAAAACATCAGTTAGTAATATTATAAAGTACAATTTCAACATGATCACAGACATAATAGTAAAACATCTTATAGTTATAAATTGTTTGCCAGACATGTGGATATTGGTATATATATATCTTATAGATTACAGGTATGCTGTTATTGTCATCACTATTTCTTTAGAAATGCCGGAGATGGCCAGGAATAATTCTTTAAATTCCTAAGAGGGACATATTCAATTTGTTCCAATCAGGTCCATTAAGCTTTAAATAAAGTCACATTCAGGTAACAAAATTCATCGTTTGCTATATATGAAGTAATCTTGTCAATAGTAAGAATACTTCATTACTTGTATTCCTCTAGGTGAGAGTGTTCCTGTAACAAAGACACCCCTCACACACCAGGAGGATGAGGAAGTCTACTCCCCAGAGATACACAAACGTCACACCCTGTTCTCTGGCACACATATCATGCAAACCCGATATTACGGCTCAGCCAGAGTCACAGCAGTGGTCGTGCGAACAGGTAGATATAGAAACAACGTGTTGTCATTGTCAGAATTATGATTGTTTAGATGACTAACATGGTTCCCAATTAGATCTATTACCCTATACAAACATGTAGTAAGTTTGTAATTTGACATCATAGACTAGTACACTGTAATGTGTTTAGGATGAAATCAAGAGCAACTTTTAAAAGGTGATAATGTAGTCATTTTAAAAGCAAGTGAGTCTAGCTTCTGTTCAAACTCCTTATCTTCTCCATGAGATCTTTGAAGCTAGTCTTAATCTTGAAATCTGGCTCTTTGGGTGATCAACTCTACCCACAAGAGTTGCTATCAGTGAAACACGAAGCTCGATATCAGCTGTTTAATTTTCCTGACTTGTGTGAGGCATGGCTGGTCTGGGTCTTATGAGCGTTTGCATGTCTTGTTTTTTATTATTTTTTATTTGTAGGTCGTTATATTGCTATTAGGACATTTTTAATTTCTAAATGCTTCTTTGAATTGTGAAAAATCCTTGTTAATATCAGAATAAATGTCAAGCTTATCCTGCAGTAATAGTTGTATTCATGGTGATTTCTGAAAAATCCTTGAAAAATGGATTGCTTCTTAAAAGAAACCACCCATTAACAGCGTCAGAGTGATTTATTCAAGGCGAAAAAAATGAAAATAATATTGCTACTTGAAAAATAGACAAAACCTTAGCTGTTCAATATTTTCTTTTATGAATATAGTTACAAAACAAGAATATGTATTATGTCAAATTGCTTATATTTACAATTGATACATGAAAATGATATCAAAATAGAAAAAGTTCATGTCCTTTATTGATTATTAACGTTGGGTTGTTTGTTTTTCAGGTTTCAGAACTGCAAAAGGAGAGCTTGTGCGATCAATTTTATTTCCCAAACCAGTTGACTTCAAGTTTTACAGAGATGCCATGAAGTTTATAATGTTTTTAGGGTTTATAGCTGCCCTTGGCATGATTTACACGGTTGTGATGTATGTTAAGGATGGGGTAAGTAGAATAACCTATCTAATGTATACATCTACCTATTATCTGAATTTGTATTAAGGGAGGATGTGAGTGTAAAATATCAGTATCTCTTACCTGAATATGTTATATGGGAGGAAAAAGAGTAGAAAATATATTAACTCATTCAGTACCGACGAACATTTCGTGTAATTCAGTATATCAACTCTCTTAGGGTGTAGTGTACCTTGATAAGTCTTCAATATCTATTATTTATGTGATGTAACGGACAGACACTTGTCCCAGCTGTTACTATGATATATAATCTGTGTTACAGATCCATCCATTTAAGATTGTTCTACGTGTACTAGATGTAATAACCATCATCGTACCAGCCGCTCTGCCTGCTGCCATGACGATAGGCATAACGTATGCCCAGAATCGGCTCAAGAAAGAAAGCATCTACTGCATCAGCCCACCTAGGATTAACTTTGGTGGACGACTAGACGCCTTTTGCTTTGATAAGGTACAGTAATTTAGTGAATTAATCTTGAGGTAGCCAAGTCCCTATTAAGTGGTAAATGAGGTCCTTCGGTACTAAAATCAATTTATTTTCACGTTTACTTTATCTCATGAACTACCGCAAGCATACATATTGTTCACCGTAATTTGAGCACTTTTTGTGCTTTAAATGTTTTGCTGAATTATGAATGTGCTTCTTAACATTTTTGTCTTTAGTTTTCTATAGCATATATTGACAGTACGCCAATCCATCAATGCGCTAATCTTTTAAAATTTGATGGAAAGCTGAAATTTGAGTCAACTAAAATAAACATTTTTGCAGTATGTCTGTAGATTGTTTCCACTTATATTTGAATTCATAATTGAAGGAATGCTATTTTAATATTGATATTGATTGACTATGGGATTAATTTTCAAGAAAGAGTTCATTTTGGCCCTAGGCCTCCTCAGAAAATATGCAAAAATTAATCTCACAAGAAAAAGGTAATTTACAGTACATGTATCTGAATTGGTGATTGACCCACTCTGAAATATTTTTGAAAATCTACATGTCATAGAGGATTTATTAGGATAAATGATGGACGCAGGCAATTACTGCCTCTATATGTCCATATCATATAAAATAATAAGTTCAATTTTAAAATCACTACCATTGTTAGATTTGTAGCTAGCTAGGTGATTAAATTTCAGTTCAAGATGTCTCCAATGATATCATGGCATACATTTACTGATATATTGTATGTTGAGAATTTTATGTTTGATGTTACAGACTGGGACCCTGACAGAGGATGGTCTAGACATGATGGGGACCATTCCCGTCCACAAGAGCAGGTCATTATAATAATTTAATATTTGATGTTCTTGTATACTGCTTTATCACAACCTAGTTCGTAGGTCGTCTCAAAGCGGTTCACAAATTATTAGCCGTGGTTATAGGGCCTTTGCAACGTTCCAGCCAATATCTTCTTCAACTCCCTGAGCAGTATACAGCCGGTGCTGCCATTTCGGCACTCACAGCTAGCATTCAACAATTCTAGCATTGCCCAACCACGTACTCATTTACAGCTGAGTAGACTGAAACAAGCGGAGTAAAGTATCTTGTTCAAAGATACAACACATTGCCGGTACGTGACTCGAACCCGCAACCCTTCGGTCATGACCTTGGCGTCCTACCACTAGACTGTCGTGCCTCCGTAACATATTAACATACTTTAAAGGATACGTTTAACATGTATATGTTTATTGTTAAAGATTAGAATGACATTTGTCGCCTTGAAAGATGTATGCTCATAAACGTTAACCCTTTCACCACTGTAGACCATCATGGACTCGCCCAGATGGATTTATGGTAGAGTCTACTCAAGTTACCTAGGGGTGAAAGGGTTGAACACAAATGTAATAAAATAAAGACATTTACGTTCCTTTGATTTTTCTAGAGAGTAAACAAATTTCAAAAATCCATTCCCCTAGTCCAGTTTGACCTCTGTCTTAGCTGCAGATATACATGAAAGTAATGAGGTCAGGTTTTAAGATCTATTGTTGATAGCGTAGCTATTAGATATTATTTTTATCAGAACCTCATGAATGATTATATTTCTAATTTTGTATGAAGATACAGACAACTTGTTTGATGGTAAATATTGTTCTTGTACTGTCTAGCCATTCATGTACACAGGTTACGATTATAGTACAGCATAAACATGTTATTATTTCTTTAGCGTACCTGCCTAGTCACCTGCATTTGTGAAGGGCAATCTTCAATACTAATGAAACGACCCACAATTAACAGGCTTGACCTGCATTTTGATCATCTATGACCGTCAAAAGATATTATAAATTACTATTTTTAAAAATGTATATGTGTAATGAAATCATGATCCTTAAGAATTGATTGTATCTTTTTTGCAGTTTTCTGCCACTTCAAACAGACCCCTCCAAACTGGACCATGGACCCGTTTTGAATGCTATGGCAACCTGTCACTCACTGACCATAATGGAAGGTGAACTGTCCGGTGATCCTCTTGACCTAATTATGTTTGAATCCACAAAATGGGTGAGTATTTTTCATGTGCTCGTGATATATATATATAGATGACATTTATTGGCATGTGATGTCATTAGCCCTTTCACCCCTATGTAACTTTAGTAGACTCTACCATGCATTGACATGGAGGGGTCCATTATGGTCTACAGTGGTGAAAGGGTTTAATTAAAGTTTTGTTCACAGGTTAGTGACTTCATAGTTGTTGTTAGTTGGTATTTATACAATTTCAAACATTCAGTGCATCAATATTAAATCTTCTGTCAGATTTTATTCCTGGATTTAGTTACCTTAAGACTACCAAAACAACATAATATGTTGGGATTCTGGTAACAGATAACGATGACTGCATAACTGCTATACTAATTTAAGTTTAAATATGTATGTTTATACAAATCTCCTCATCTTTATTTCTCATAGCAGTTAACTATAAGTCACAACAGTCACAACCGGAATTACGACATACGCCACAGCTAGGCGCTTTCAAACTGTTCATACAGCCCTATAGTATATAGACTGTCCATGTTCTTTGCCATATATGGACACTATTGATAATGCATGCAAGTTTACAGCCGGGCCTACGCCACTTCGTCGAGACTTCAAAATTCTAGGTTAGGTTATGTGCACTGTCAGTGAGTACCCTTATGTTGCCAAACATTGTTGTATGAATAAATGCGAGGAATCTGAAGTACTTTGCTTGTTGTTGTTTCATAAAATGGTTTTAAAAAGGAAGAAAACTTTGCAAGTTTTTCCTCGTAAGAAGCCTATTGATTTTTGTGGTTACGTTTTAGGTTCTTGAGGAGCCAGGGCGAGACACCAGTAAGTTTGATACCATGATGCCCACAGTTGTAAAACCTTGTACCAGGGACACCTTCTTACCCAACCAGGAACAGGTATTTATATCCTCCAGTCAATGACTGTATGTTGGTAGACACATCATCTTTACTTTCAAAAGAATTTTATAGGTTGTTATCAATAAAATGAATAATAAAGAAAAGATTCTGTTCAAATTACTTTGATTATAGTATTTTCCAGAATTCAAGGGATCTCAATTACAGGTCAAAAACTGACATTTATTTCATTAGAATATATATTTTTGTCAGAAATTAAAGGGTCCAGCGTTAGTGACATTAAGTCTGATACTGAGATTTATAAACTATGATGGTTGTTCTTATCTTTGCAGCCTCCACTTGAAATTGGTATAATCCGCCAGTTTACATTTTCCTCTAACATGCAAAGGATGAGTGTGATCACGCGCGAACTAGGCAAAGAACACATGGAGCTGTACTGTAAAGGTGCTCCAGAGAAAATTATCTCCCTTTGTGTGTCTTCAACCGGTAAGTTTGCCAGCATTTGTACACTAGCTAGTCTGTAAGATTGATTCCCATTGCAATTCCTCTGAAAATTCATTGGTGTGTTTCCAAATATCTAACGAGTACAAAGCACAATTGACAAGGGAGATAACTAATCATTAAAGGAAGTAGTTACTGTAGTAGATTAGTTTTGACTAGATAGCTCAGTAGTAAGAGTAAGTAGTCATGAGCATGGCTTGTTGCAATATACCACCAAAGTAAGAGGTACATTTTACTTGCTTTGAGAGTGCATATACCTCTTCTGACCATTGGTCTCAAAATCAAGAGAATAGAATTCTGGAACATATTTTGGCCACTGATATCAAAGTTTTTCTTTCTAAACAAACAATGTATGTATTACACGTGTCGCAACGTTTCAAGACCAACTGGTTCCTTTGTCAAGCTATGTCTGAGCCTATTTGATGCAGTGTTCATACCCTTCCGAACGATAGGCGAAAGGTCCTGAATCGAGTGACATAAAAAAAATATACAATTTCGTCACATCGTTGTACAGGTAAAAAATACAAATCGCTCACTCAGTCATAGCTTGACAAAGGGACCAGTCGGTTTTGAAACGTTGCAACACTTTTAATGCATACATCGTTTGTGTAAAAAGAAGAACTTAGATATCACATATTTCCAAACTTATGAATCTTATTGAAGATATTTTGACCACTGTTATGTATATGGAATACAGACTTGGTAGGCATGTACATCACGTGAATGCATCGTGTTACATACCCAATAATAACAGTGCAATGTTAAATTCAAGGACCGAAATAATGGTTGCCAGACCTTAATCTCACGCAAAGATTTTTCTTGTGAGACCTTAATTGGTATGCATGTACGTCATGCTCAGGAGAGTTGTTTTGCATTCAAAAATAGGGTGACCACAATCTCTATTTGGTATTGTTACATATAAAAACATGGGTCGTTGTGTGTTAATAAACAACTTTTCATTCCCAGTTCAATCTTTTTTTCTATCCAAATTACTGAAGTAATGAATTTGTACCTCTACTGGGAACATAAATCATTGTTTACGTTTTCACGTTTTGAGTCTAGAAGATCTAAAACATTTTGATCGTGCTAAAGCTGTAAAATACTAAATCTTGACTCTTTTTCATAGTGAGCAGAGTTTTCTAATTCAAAATTACAAAATTTGATATTTTGTTTTCAGTTCCAACAGATATAAAAGAAATACTACAGAGTTACACCTTACAAGGTCACAGAGTGATAGCCCTCGCCTGGCGACCTCTTGACCCCAAACTTACCTGGCACCAGTCTCAGAGGATATCGAGGTATAAGGTTACTAAGGTCTACACGAGTTTACAGAAAATTACAGAATAGATCATAATTATTTTTTAATATAAATTATTTTGTTCAATTTTAATTTTGAGCAAATAGAATTTTTGGTTTCCCAATATTTGGAAGGTGCAACTTTTTAACATTTTATGTTGATCGTGAAGGTAGCATGATATGCAGAAAAGAGTGGAAAACAGGCTCCAAGGGGGTTAGGTTTGCACTCCGTCCGTCCAAGAAGTTTGTCCGGGACACATCTTCTAAACTTTTTCAACTGGAGTGTCCAGATTTGGTGTACAAGGACATCTTGGGATGACAGAGTGCAATAATAAGGTCACTGTGACCTATGACTTGACCTTTGACCTTAACTTTTGAAAACATTTGTCCTGGGCATATCTTCTATACTATTTCAACTTGAGTATCCGGATTTGGTATACAAGGACATCTTAGGATGACAGAATGCAGAGTGCAAGTATTAAGTCACTGCTACCTATGACTTGACCTTTGACCTTCACTTTTGAAAACGTTTGTCCAGGGCATATCTTCTATACTATTTCACCTGTAGTAACCAGATTTGGTGTACAAGGACATCTTGGGATGGCGAGTGCAAGAAGTAGGTCACTATGATCTTACTGTGACCTATGCTTCCTGACATAAATTGTTAAATATAGAAATCATTATCGTTGGGGGACTGTGGATTGCCTTTCAATACTTTGCCTTGTTTTCACTGGTGTACATGTGGATTTTAACATGAGATCAATTGGTCTAAAATTCTGTCATATATTTTGCTTTGAGCAAATCAAAGGAGAGGGCAATTTCAACATGAGGTGAATAGATTTTTAACCTTTATACTGTTGCTCAAGTAAGTGATAAAAAAGTACAAAGGGCAGATCATGTGACTGACATTATACAAGGTAACTAAATAAGAAATATACTCAAAATAGGATGATTGCTTCGCTATTAATTGTGTGTTTATATGAGTGTACTAGTGGGTGTGTACCTTTCCATGTGTCATTATCCTGTTTCACAGAGACAAGGTGGAGAAGGACATGACATTGTGCTGATATGAGTGTACTAGTAGGTGTGTACCTTTCCATGTGTCATTATCCTGTTTCACAGAGACAAGGTGGAGAAGGACATGACATTGTGTTTATATAAGTGTACTAGAAGGTGTGTACCTTTACATGTGTCATTTTCCTGTTTCACAGAGACAAGGTGGAGAAGGACATGACATTGTGTTGATATGAGTGTACTAGTAGGTGTGTACCTTTCCATGTGTCATTTTCCTGTTTCACAGAGACAAGGTGGAGAAAGACATGACATTGTGTTTATATGAGTGTACTAGTTGGTGTGTACCTTTCCATGTGTCATTTTCCTGTTTCACAGAGACAAGGTGGAGAAGGACATGACATTCCTAGGATTGATTGTAATGCAGAACAAACTTAAACCTCAGACACGACCAGTGATCCGCAAACTTATTGCAGCCAATATTCGATGTGTCATGATAACAGGTAGGATTCTTAGCTAATAAGTAAATGTTGTAGTTCTGACTTATGAAATAATCATTATGGCCACCAAGGATTCTGATTGGCTGACACATTGTGAACAGTAACTGAATTCCACTGGGTCAATGGTCAATAATATGATTTTACCGTTATGCATATCTTTCTTTTATCACTGATAAATTTCATAGTTTTTGAACCAATAAAATAATCCATTATGGTCTACAAGACATTAAGATAGAACCCAAAAACAAACTTTAGAGCTGATTTGACTTGAGACATCATGGATAGGATCCTCCCATGAACCTTAATAAGTTTGAAGGTTTTCCATCAATAAAATAATTTAAGAGTTATAACCGCCTAGAATTCTAATTGACTTGTATGTCAAAACCCATAATAATTATTTTGTGTCACACTGGTACAAATTTGTTTCACTGGTAACTCCTTTCCAGTGCTAATACTGTTTTATGTGCCTGCTATAATTGTGATTTATTGTAGGTGACATGATAGAGACGGCAATGAGTGTGGCCAGGAACTGTGGCATGGTGTCACCACAGGACAAGGTGATTATAGTGGAGGCTGTGCCCCCAGATCATAACGGACCTGCTCGCGTGGAATACAGACACTCGGAGATGCCAACTGACCGTGATACCGAAAACACTCTGGTAATGTCTCGCCAGGATTTTCTGCTCTAATCCAATTTTAAACTTTTCCAATAAAAGCTACGACAAGAAAAGTTAGATATTGACAATGAGTGTAGAAGACTGTGTTAACTCATTCACCCCTGAAGACACATTTGAAATCTTCCAATTTAAAAGCTGGACTAGTTCATCATGAAATTTCAGGGGTGAATGAGTTAAAGGCAGCTTATTATCAGGATAATAAATAGGTAGCAAGTGCGGTTGATTCCATAAAAAAAACCAGCATTTACCTCCTTTGGCAGCAAAGTGTATTCGCATAGCCAGTTTGTTGCCAAAATTATCTTGTTCATTGGTGAAAAGACCAGTTAATAGGCAATGTAACTATTATGTCAGCTACCATGTAAAAACTAGGCCCTACTGATAACCGTGAAATTTATTGAGTACAGAATCGTTTGCACCAATGCCAAGCAACTGTACCTATAATTGTATTATTTTCAGGAGTACTCAAGACTAGAAATGGAAACTTCAAACATTAATTTCCACTTTGCTATAAATGGGAAGTCTCTTTCTGTGATAACCAAACACCTCCCTGATCTCCTCCCCAGGGTAAGTACATACAGAAGCCATCTTTAAGAAGTACAAAGGCTACAAATGAAAAAGATAAAAGATAAAGTTCATTTGGTTTTGAAGCATCTATATATCCCTCATATTGATGTCACCCAACTCAAAACAGGTATCCTTTGTTCCAATACTGTATGCAAGCTGGATAAATTTATTGAAAAAATATTATTTTTCATTGCGATGATTTCACATATTAAACATAGCTGTGAAGATTTCTGGTCAAGAAAATCTACATACTTAATAATCTGTAACTGCGTATTGCTACACTGCTCAAAATATTTCTACAAATAAATATGAAAGTGATGCTGTGTGGAATCAGATATGCAGACATATGTAACATGTACTTAAATAATTCATTGAATCATTGTTGATATTTGAACTTTTCTTAGATTCTCTTGTTAACCTGTAGTCAAAATTATTTGACCAGGTGGGATGTTGTGTCTAAGTTTTGGAAATTTTTGATGTGTTTGGGCAATAAATATGTGTCCCTTACAGTTACCTCATCATCAGTGACACTGTCATCCTAGGATATTTAACTTTTGATATACATTTTTTTTACTGGGCACGAGTAAAAAATATCAAAATATTACTCGCGCGAGTGAAATATATTTGCTATTATTGAAGACGGCTTTAAAATTTCTATTTATTACATTTTTAAAGCATAAACCATGAAAAATGTAATTAAAAAAGGGCGGGAATCAGAAGCGTAATAATTAGTGGTGTGATTGCTAATAAAAATGTTATTAGTTGTATACTTCAGTGTGTGTACCAAACATTTACCTTAACAAGCACCTACTTTACCATCGTTTCATTTGAAACTGAACAAAAAATCGTTGCCTTTGAATGCAGCAAATAAAAGATACCGTTATGATTGGACAATACCAAAAAGTGATATTTTCACACTGTGTGAAAGATATCAGTTTTATCAAGTTGATAGAATCCGATATACCACTGGCAAAAATGTAATAAATTGGAAACATCATCAGTACATGTACCAGTGTATATGTTTCTTTAGTGTACATACCTGAGTATTACTACCAGTTATATTTATTTACAGATCTGTGTAGTTGGTACTGTTTTTGCTAGGATGAAGCCGGACCAGAAATGTCAACTCATCCACAAGTTACAATCTCTTGGGTAGGTTCAAGAGGAACATTTAATTTGATGTCAATACTAACCAAAGTTAGTCACACAGTCCTCAAATAATCCACGTGAAGGGAAATTGTCTGTGTAAAGTTCAGTTGAAGAAATTAAAAGAGATAAGTTATGAAAAAAAAGGAAATTTTGAATTTTATATGAAAATACCAAGGGCAAATACCACCCCTACCCCTTTGCATTATTTTATCATTTCCCCATCCTCTGTTTCCTTTCTGTCTTCCTCCTCTGCTCTTTCCTTTTTCCTCCTGCCTTCTCTCCCCTTCCACTAACTCTCCCTTTTCCCTCCTGCCTTCTATCCCCTTCCACTAACTCCCTTTTCCCTCCTGCCTTCTCTCCCCTTCCACTAACTCTCCCTTTTTTCTCCTCCCTTCCACATCATCATTCTTTCTTTCTGGTCCCCCTCATACTTTGCCTCGTCCTACTTTTATTATCATCCTTTCCTCCTTTCAATTCTTCTCCGTTCTCCTTCCTTCTGTCTGCTATTCTCTGTCTCTTTACCATTTATCCTTCTCCCCTCCTTACCTATTAATACATTTTATAAGTAAGGTTCATTTCTGAAAACAGGCTCTTCCTGTAACTAGACAAATTTGAGATGATACTAGTGGTTATTTTCCCTCTTTCCTAGGCCCAAGTGATAAGTACTTATAAAATTCAGGTTTTGATATTCAGTGATTTTAACACTTTGTCATTGTAGGTACCATGTGGGTATGTGTGGTGATGGGGCTAATGACTGCGAGGTGAGTGAGAAACTACACACTACTAGTACTTATCAAAGAGTATCTACATTAGAATCCTCGGTTGCGTAATCTGTAGTCAAGCAGACACTAATTATGCCGCCACCATTCAAATAGTTTTATGATGCACAGATTTTTCCTGTTCTATTCAAAACTCAGTGACGGACTCTTTCACTTTCCTTTTTCATAAATCAACAATTATATTGTAGAGGGGCCTATGTTGCTAGAAGAATTGAAAATTGTTTAATATGCTTTTATTATAGAAACAGTTTTGTATATAGAGACATATATACTTGGTGAGTCAGGAATCTAGTTAAAGTCACAATCAAATTCTCTCAATCCAAGAAGGTGAAAATTCCCCATATTCTCAGGAAAACACAGTCGCTGCATTCTATTTAATAAACAGGTGTAGGATTAAGACTTGAAATATGTTGTAGGCTTTGAAGGCAGCCCACGTAGGAATATCTCTGTCTGAGGCTGAGGCGTCGATAGCAGCACCCTTCACCTCCAGCATTCCCCACATAGAGTGTGTCTATACTGTTATAAGGTATGTATACGCTTAGTAATGTCACAGAGAAAATGTAGGGTAGGGTGGTATATACTACATACTCTACTCATGTCATAGAACTTCAAGAAGAAAACTGAAAAAAAAAAAAAATCACAATCTGACTTTTTTTGTACTACATATACTATTGTTAACAGTGTTTGATATCTTCGTCCAGCTCATGAGGAAGAGAGGGAGGGTACATTTACCCAATTGATAAATTGAGTTAATGTCAAGTTTTATTAACAGACCACAAAGAGATGTTTTACATTTACTCTGTTGTTGAATTGAATTAATGCAAACTTACTTTTATTGTTTTAGTAATGCATGATAATTAATCTGATCTATAAGCACATCATTAATTAGCACACAGATGCTTTCCTTGTGCAAATGTGCTTTTGATGTGTTTTTTCAGATCGCATTGAAATAGGTTGCGATATACAAAATAAGTGCATCAGAGAGACCATAAGAGATGGTAAAAGAAAAATACAACCACAATAAGTATGATGTAATGTTACAGGGAAGGAAGGGCTGCCCTCACTACATCTTTTGCCTGTTTTAAGTATATGGCTCTTTATAGCTTTATACAGTTTGTGTCTGTGATGATTTTATATTCCGTAAGTATCCTTGTTTTGTGTTCTTTCTTATAATTTAGTACTTTATATGAAATCAATGTCCCAGATTTAGATCTGCTGTTTGAGATGGGCTCAGCTATTGATTCATAAAGGAGATATGACCAGTACAAGATAAAGATACAAGAATATTTATTTAACATTGCATACCAGAAAAGTACAAACATTAGCTCAGTAGGGATATTTCTGCGACAAACTGGGTATAATAAAACAAAAACAAGATATGCAAATAAACATAGGCCTGCATGGATAAAATATATACAAAAATGTAAAACTTGATATAACTCACTTCTTGAGAAAACATTTTGCCCATTTATAAAATATTCTGAATATTGCAAAGTGTTTGGGTACTGTTAATTGAATTGTATATTAAAAACATGATAATTTTTCTAAATTTGCATTTTACAAAAGATAGACAAATCAAAATTGAGTCAGTCTTAACGAGTTTATTCGAGTTGTACCTCATGTTTCTTTTTCTTCTGATTGCAGTTTGAAGCCAACCTGTCTGATACTCAGTTTTTGTACATAGATCTCGTCATAACTACAAGTATTGCAATATTTAGTAAGTACTGTTGTATGTATAGCTACAATAAACAGATATGTTACAATGTTAAATATTACAATCCTGAAGTTCTTTGGTCAATACTGTCTGTCTGTCGGCTGTTTTATTCATGTTCCCAAATATTTCAACTTAAAATGCAATATTACGGATGCACTCTTCGAAATTACCAAATAGTATGATTATTATTTAATAATTTGCATTCTGTTCAGATTATAGTCCTTTTATTCTGTTCAGGACTTTAGACAAATAATCATTACCATAGTGTCACATACAGGCCTTGAAAAGTGCCTGAAAATGGATGTTATCATGGAAAAGTGCTACACTCGGCTCAATATTTCTTAAAAAGTGCTGGATAATATTTACTTGTGACAGTATTAAGTATTCCCTTCCTTAAAGAACTGTTTCAAAGATTCCATACTGAAGGAAATTTTTGAATTTTTTGTTTGATATAAAAAAAAAAAATATCAGAAAAGTTAATAATAATTGATTATTTGATTTGCTTTGATTCATTTGAAAACCAGAATAATCTAGCAGAAATAGACTTGAAAACACTTCTTTTGGGTGACTTAATAAAGTGTTGATCTATTTCAGTGGGTTACACCAAACCAACACTGGTACTGGTCCCCAAGCGGCCCCCGGGTAGTTTGGTCAAGTTGTCCAATCTGTTGTCCATCACTGTCCATGTACTACTTGTTGCTATCGTACAAGTGGGCGCCTTATTGTACCTGATGGCACAGAAGTGGTAAGTACTCCTACGGACAGTCAAGTGCTTGGCCAAGGGACAATATTCATGAAACTGTTCTCATACTCAAGCCTGGATTCTGTGCTCAAACCAGCTTCCTTGTAACTCACTTAAATCATGCGACACAGAAAAATTTAAAGTGCAAACATTTAAACAGCTTTCTGCTTGAAGTCTCTTCAGATTTCTTCCGAATTATGAACAACATTTGATTTTCATTTATTTATCACGGGAACAAGAAATTGGGCCTGAGCATAGACTTTAAGTATGAGCATGAGCATATTTTCATGAACACGGGCCTGGCAATGGCGGATCCAGAGACCTATCCAAATTTCCAGGGGGGGTTCCATGTGGGGGAAAATTGAGGAAAATGGTGAAAATACTTTTTGAAGAAAATTATCAGGGGGGTGGGGGGTAGGGGTCCTGAAGCCCCAAAAGACCCTCTGGATCTGCCACTGCCTGGATCCCTTAAAATCAAGTTTTTTTATCTCCTTTATACAAGATTCAAATATGTAAAAAAAAAAAATGAAATAGCAATATCATCAGTACTGTAATAAAAGAATACACTTAAAAACTGCCGTATTAGAGGACATTGGACCAGACAAAAGGATACCTTAAGCTAGTGTTGAAGGTCCCTCTAATATTGGAATGACAAGTTACACTCTACAGTGTGCAAACCTTCATATTGTCACATAGTAGTGTTTATCACATACCTGTAATTGTTGATACATCATTATCAGTGATGAAATAAACCTTGCGATTGGATAAATCTGTATTTTCGCAAATAAGTTGTTTGAGGCCCATTTATTAAAATGAAATATGTGTCAAAACTGAAAGGCCTTTACAGTATCAACATTTTTTTTTATCTGGAGATATAAAAATAAAAATAAGCAAACGTGACATCCTTGCAACCAATTTTCATGCTCTTGGACTAATTACTTAATGCTAGTCCTTTTTATTAATTTATATGTACAATGTTATTAATAATTCAATTTGACTTTGGAATTTCAATTTTAACTAATTAATTTTTGAAGCCTATTTATCTGGGGCAAGTGGTTTGAAAATTTCTTCCCTGTATTATTACATCCCTGTAACATTTAAGCATTGAACAGTTTTTGTATGGCATTTATTATCTATTTGAATGACACAGCTTTGCAAGCAAACAACATAATGTGTGCTATCGCATTACGATTTGTCATTTAAATAGACCCTGAATGCCATACAAAACAGTTCAATGCCTATATTTATGTTTTTTCCGCCTTTCACATTTTTTTAAACTTACAAATTATATTGACAATTTTGAATTCCTGCCTTATTGACAGTTTGCACAAATGTTCAATAACTCTGAACAGCGTGTTAAATTGCCACCTGCTGATTAGTTAAGAATTGTGTCTCGTGGTGGATGTCATTTAAAGTGCCATCATCGACACAGCTTTCAAGTAGGCTATCTAGTGACAATGCCATGCAAATGTCAATATGTTACACTAAACTGTCTTTGTTTCTTCTGATACAGGTATACAAGGGCACTGCCGGATGAAGATGCTGCAACCCAGAAGTGTTGGGAGTCCACAACTATATTTCTGGTGTCCTCCTACCTGTATATATCCGTGGCCTTTTGTTTCTCTCGGGGACCACCCTACAGGAAACCCATTTACACTAACAGTATGTACACAAGTCAGTAACCTAAAACCTTGATAATTCACACGATGATAGATACATCAGGCCCTTTTGCGTTTCTGGTTAAACCAGTTGAAACAGTCTTTTGACCTGTAAGTTATATGTAACCAGTCAAATAGCTTACTGCATGCCTTTAATTTCATCATGACCTTTTCTAGGAATTAGGAGAACATAAATAAGCGTAAGCAAGCACAATTTGGCACCAATTTTCTTCACCTATACCAGTATACAAAGCAGCTTACACAAATAACCACAGGAGATGTAGTTTGATATAGCTATTTTGCATTGCCCTGAGTGACGTACCAATTTTGTATTTGGTTGTGATATGTGTTTTGTGTTTCAGTTCCTTACCTTGTTACACTTGTGGTTCTGGTGTCATTTTCCACTATGATGTTATTACTGGCACCTCATCCGATTCTTGATTTCTTTTGGGTGAGTATATAGAGTCTAACCTCGTTATCTTGAAGTCGAAGGGGTTGTGGGAAAACCTCGAGTTATCCGATTATTCAAGTTATGCAGGTTCATATATTTGGTATGAAATTTGCTGTTTGGACATACCATTAGCGGTTGTTGACGTGTATTAATAGCCAATGCTTATAATCAATATAACAAATACAGGTATGTTATTTTACAATAAACACGCTTACAAAAATAAGGGTAAGTTATATCCGAAAAAGCTGTTTTTGTTTAACGTGATTAAAACGGTTAGACAATATTGTGAATTCGTTACGAAATATGGACGGGCCTATAGTGATTAAATATTGGTTTTGGCTAGTCTTGGCTAAGACTTTCCAGATCTGCATTTGTATTTGCAAGTCCGTCAAGTTTAACCTCTGAAGTGTTACATTTAAAAGTCGAGCAATCCTGCTGTCTCCGACCTCGTACTATACAATGCGGAAATGTAAGTGCGCAAGTCTAAAACAAATCACTGTATAAATGGAGCATACGCACAGTTGATTCTTTAAATGAAAACACACACAAACAGATTCTATTGTACCCATAACACATTGATTAGTTAAAGCTAATTATGACACCTGACACCTCAAATCTATGTACTCAACAGCAATTATCGTATTGTCCTTAAAACCTCTCGATCAACTTTCAAAGCCATACTGGCTCCTGTAAAAACACAAACCTGTGAAGCTGTTCAATGTTGTGATTTTAACTGTGGAACTCTTTTATGCATGACCACGCTTTGTGACCAATTTTCCGGTTTGGACTATCGTCAGTTTTGGTGTACAAATCATTAAACGGACTCGCAGGTAGTACAGAATACTGTTGATCTATGAATATCGTGGTGTTGACAGTCCGCACACTTAACTTTCTTAAACTTTATCATAAAATGTTTTTACCGATTTCATGCTAGTCTACTCACAAAAGATGTTCATAAGCACGGAATAGCGAGATGCCGTAGTTTTGTTTTCTATTTGTATGAAATTTGAACACTATGAAGAATGTTTTGATGTTGGATTTAAGCTGTTGAAACCAATCTTACTTCGAGGTATCCAAGTTTTTCGAGTGTTCAGGGTTCGAATTATTACTTTTTTATTTACTAAGATAAAGAAGAGATTTGGCCGGGACCAGAGAAATACTTTGATATAAAAGGGGTCCTCGAGTTATAAGAGTTCGAGATAAAGAGGTTCAACTGTAGTTTGACTTTTACGTTTTGAAGTAATGTTTTAAGTGACGAAAGAACCCTATATCTTTTTGAAGTCAAAGCCTATATATAAATACTTTAGAATGTATTCCGTACAAAATAATTTCACAAATTCTTTTAAAACAGCACAGACACATTACACTTGACAAAACCAAGAACCTGAAAGTGAATTGCAAGGAAGCATGCATATGGTTACCTTGATTTGGCTGATTTAAGTCGTTAATACAAAGAAAATTATGTGGGATATTACTTTGACTTAAAAAAAAACTATTTTGAAGTTCATATATATTGCATATACGAGAAGAACATAACTTCTGTGACACTGACATTTTACTTTTGAAATTCTTTCAATTTTCAGATCATGCCCTTGTGGGAGAAGGATTTTCACTTTCGCCTGGTGTTACTGGCCTTCCCAGCTACACATCTGGTCCTGTGCTGGATAGCAGAGGTAATTAGTCAGTACTAGCAGGTCTACAGTCCATTCCACATTCGATTTGTCAATTTGCAGCTCACTTGCCCTGAAGTTTTCCCTGGAAAAGTTGATTTTCATGAAACTTTATACAAATACTTCTTGTATTAATTACCACCTCAAGTTTAATTTTGACCTGGATCTGAAATTCAATATACCCATAAAAGGGGCCATCTTGGATTTTGGCACCTGCATTGGTTTCTTCCTGATAACTTTTCAAGAAGTGCTTTGATTTTCATGAAAATCCAACAAATACTCACAGTATCAATTTCCAACTCAAATTGAATTTTAAATTGCATCCAAAATTTAATATAGCTGCCAGCAGCTATCTAGAATTTCATAGATGTTTGTGAATGATTTCTTTTGAAGAAATTACCAAATTTGATGGAACTTTCCTGGTATACTTACTTCTTGACTTTAATTCTTCACTGTAATTTCCTCACTTTAGTTATATACTTCTATGCATATTTAATGAGGCTGCGATCTGATGCCTGATTATTTCCAGCGGATAATTTTTGAAGAAATAAAAGTACCGGTATTTCAGTGTAACTTGCCTAGTGTACTGTTCATTCTACCCAAAGCTCTTACTTAAGTTTGATGCTCGGCCATAGTAGACTGCCATGTCTGATTAGCTGATACATTCTAGATTATAATACCAGTGTTATCTTTCAAAGGAATTATTTGCATAGACTTTAATATTATCGGCAATGTCCAGTCAGTTAATTTTGAAATTAAAATATGAATGGTATTTTGGTGTATAAGAAACCCCAAATGAATTTCAGTTTTCCGCATTAGTAACTTCATGACGAGTCTTCTTTCTTTCAGTATACATTGACAGCAACTAAATGCGTGAAAAAAATGACAGCAGTGTGTAAAAAGAAGAAAATGAACCCAGACTCTTACAAGTATATACGCAATGAAATAATGATGACAGATTGGCCCCCTATAGGACAATCAATGTCAGGAGAGGAGGCGTTCAGGCAGACCGTCGATCAGGAGGGCGGAGAGGAACTGAAGGAGGAGGAAGAAAGTATGCATGTCGGCATCATCAACTAATCGTTGACCAACTGTGATATAATTACTGATACACTGGTGTAAAACACGTTTTAATCTTAGAGGACCCAAGTTAGGTGTTATACACATTATCTTGTTGTAATATATTGTTAATATATTGTGTAGTCAGGGGTTTTAGCAATATTTTTGCACCAAGTGCAAACTTACGGTTTATGTGTTAGACGTAAACGTGTTTTACTGTATAAACTCATAACTGTTACCTGTGATTTCATCCCTATACCATACCATAACAACACACCCAGTGGTGGCTTCATCCTAACACTATCAACCTGTTTAGTCAAACTCATACTCGCTAGAAAATTCTTGCCTATATATAACAATCTACTTTTAGGAGGCACGGTAGTCTAGTGGTAGGACATTGGGCTCGTGACCGAAGGGTTGCGATTCGAGTCACGCCACGGCACCGTGTTGTATCTCTGAGCAAGATACTTTACTCCGCTTGTTCCAATCTACTCAGCTGTAAATGAGTATGTGATTCGGCAGTGCTAGAATTTTTGAATGCTAGCTGTGAGCGCTGAAATGGCAGCACTGGCTGTATGCTCCCTAGGGAGTTGAGAAAGATATTGGCTGGTTGCAAAGGCCCTATAACCATGGATAATAATTTGTGAACCGCTTTGAGATGACCTACGAACTAGGTTGTGATAAAGCGGTATATAAGAAGCTCAGAAAAACAGAAATCTTGTGAGCATGATTTCAAGGAAGTCTTGTAATTTCCAGCCATCTAGCATAGTTTTCTATAGGTAATCCATTAAACATGTGATAACAAAACTCTAAGTAGGGGGTTAGCTTCAAGCATCATTACATACAGGGACTACCAATGGTAGTGGTAGCTTTAAGCCTTTGTTGCATGTACAAGGAACAGCCAGACATCCGATAGGGGAAGCTTCAAGCTTCAAACTTTCATTGCATACAGGGACAGACAGACATGTGTTAGCTGTAGCTTTTAGCCATTGGTGCATGTAGGGACAACCAGACATCTGGTAGGGGTAGCTTCAAGCTTCAGAGATAGCTTCAAGCTTCAAACATTCATTGCATTCAGGGAAATCCAGACATTTGTAGCGGTAGCTTTACACCTAGAAGGGACAACCAGACATCTGGTAGGGGTAGCTTCAAGCTTCAAACTTTCTTTTCAAACAGGGACAGCCAGACATATGTATAAAACTGTAGCGTTAAGCCTGTTGTGTGTAGGAATAGGCAGACACCTGCATGGTAGGAGACGCTTCAATATTTAAACTTCCATTGCATACAATGTACAAGCTTTACCAATTTACTGATGCTCTAAGCTTTCAGTGTAAAATAAGAGACTTCAAGCCATCTTGTTGAGTTAAGCTTCAAGCCATCAATGAAAATATACACTGACAGATATCTAAGAAAGTTAATAGCATGTCTTTGTTGAAAAAATAAGGGAAAACACTTCCATACCTGCTATAGGAGGTGGGGCGGTCAAGCCACTTTATTGCAAACAGACAACTATATGTATGAAGCAGATGGCCTCATTGAAACCAGTGACAACTACTAGACATGATACAGGGAAGACATTTTAAGTCATTAAGTTTTCATTGAAATGTGTGACAGCCAAACTGCTGGGTTTTACCCTTCGTTATAACCTTAGTAAGTCATGATATCAAGGATTGACGTCAACCTTCAGGAATCTGGAGACTGTTTACTGTCTAGTAGGGGTAGCTTCAAGTTTTATTGTAGTTGCACATCAAAGACAATTTTATTCTGTGTAAATAGTTATCTGACTATCAGTGTGACAGTATTCAGGATGACTGAAGACTGCAAACATTCATGGCAAGCTACACATATTTTTGCATCATTTGGACACCAGTTTTGCAACTTTACTATAGCTTCAATTTGTTACAGAAAGATCATACATTGTATTCATTTCATAATGTCTTGTGTATAAACTGCTGTGCTCAATATCTCCTACAATGTGGGAAAATATATTATGGCCTTAACCAAGCGCTTGAATCATAACACATTACAGTATCATGTATACGCTTTTCAACTAACTTTCACAGTCTAATTAACTACATAGTATATGCCATATTCTGCATTTGTTGAATTCATTGACAACCCTGTCCTTTTTATAGATTTAGAATGATTTACAAGAACATACTATTGGAGATATTAATGTAGTATATGTTATTGACATACTGACTGATTTGTAAAAGATATATTGATAATGGTATGTGATTTAGAATATAAGTTTATATCAATAAATTATCTTTAAATAAGCCTGTCACACACCTATGGTCTTTTAGAAAGAAGCTAAGATTGAAATTGGGTATAAAGATTAGTTTAGGTGATTGATACAGGAAATGTTCATCTTCATAGAAGACCCTTGACTGAAAATTCAGTTAACTCATTCACCCCTGAAAACAAATTTGAACTCTTCCAGTTCAAAGGTTGGAATAGTCCATTATCAAATTTCAGTTGTGAATGAGTTAAACAAAGGGTGGGCTTATTTCTGAGCATGGGCTTATCACTGAGCACTGGCTTATCACTAGTGATATATGTTATTTACAAGTATAATATAAAGTATCATTGCCTATCGAAATATATAACTACTTAATGCATTCAATTTATGTAAAGATTTGTAAAGATTTGGTTTAGATATTTGGTGTTTGTTCTTCATGATTGCGTAAAACATTTAAATATGATCATCAGTGTGAGATATTGGATGTCTATAGGGTCAGCGTGATACATTTGATGTTTATTTATCAGGTCAGGTCTAGTTTTATATATGATAAGCCTGGTAAGTATACAAATGTTTGACCTCTGCTCCTTGGTGCTACTACATTCTGTGGGAATTAAAACATTTAACACCGCTCTTCTTTTAGTTGAGAAAACAATGCTTTTTATCTTCTCAGTAGAAAGTTTATATTATATCTCAATGAACAGTCTCTCAGTAGCCATATATTTGATTGGTGAAACATTAGTTTGAATTTCATGGGTTGGTCCCTCTTTTTTTCGCTTTGTTTTATCAATTCACAGAAAAGACTATTACTGTACCAGACATCTTATTCTTTAAATCATCTATTTAACCTAGTTTCCCACCTTCCCAACAAACCCCTTAACATCCGAACCCCCACTTCACCTCCAACACCAACACACACCCTTTCCCTCTAATCTAAAGAGTTGATACAAATATATTTTGACATTCCAAAGTGATATAACATAATAATAGTATATTCAAAGAATGTCTTTGGAGATAAATTATGCATAATATTCAAAATATTCATATTTGAATTATTCATTTGCAAATATTTAATTTATTCGTTCACCTCTAGTAGGTAGACTCATGCCAGACTTGGCCAAATACTGGTAATACCTGTAGTGAACAAATCGGATACATGTACCCAAAATTAAATTTAACTATTTTAAATTTATATTAAAAATGTTTTAAATTTAAATGTTCATATCCATCACAATCATCTATATATCATGTCCCTGCATTTATATTGTACCCATATATAATACTATCATTGTGGCACTCAAACGGCAGTTTTTTTAAACCATTAGAATTGTTTTATGAAGATATTTGTCTCAATTACTGATTAATTCAATTTCACAAACTATATATGCCAAATATCAGGTTAATTACATGTACCATGTATATGTGTGATGCAAATTTCACAGATTTGTCAAAAACCAAATTGCCGCATTTGAATTTTTGTCATGATTTCATCATCTTGCCAACAAAGCCAAAATAAGAAAGTTTTTAGAGAAGTTCCTGATATACTTTTTTAACGGATCATAACTAGGCTGAAGTGTAGTCCAAGATAGTGCCACATACAACTGTACTTGAGTAGTGAATTCTGCTACTTGTTTTGTCTTCCCGGTCCTATTATATTATTGATATATATCCAGATTAAATATATTTAAAGTAATGTTTCTGGCTTTAACTAATATTTAGTTATATATTGATCACTTGTTATTTCTTGTGCCTACTAACCAGATTCACGCTGAAGATGCTTCTAGCATGGGTCAATACTACGCACCGTGTACCCACTGTTAATTATGTAACCAAAATAGGCTTCATTAACCACTGTTAAAATAACACTTACCTGGTACTGGTTATTTATGATATGTATATACTCAATGTTGGTTTATCATTACTTAAGACCATTAACAGTAACTCATTCACCCCTGAAATTCTGTAATGAACTAGTCCAACCTTTCCATTGGAAGAGTTCAGATGTGTCTTTAGGCCAGGAGTGAATGAGTTAAGAATTCCTGCAGATTTTTAGTAACATTTATGAATTTTAAAAGTATTTTACAAATACATTGTACTGTAAACAATTGATCCTAAATACATTTTTAAAATGTGGCTGAAATTCTGTGATATTGCTCATATTCTAAAGCATGTATTTTCAAACTATGCAATTATGTTTTCATGAACGTTGAAAAACCATGAAAGAAAAACTGACTGATTGTTTTATTTTATCCCCATGAACAAATTATTGCATGTTATAAAGAAAACATCTGGATTAAGCCTTGTACGATGTTTTCTTTTTGAAAATGTTTGCGTATGATCTGTGTGATTGGACATCGACAGACTTATGATCGAGTGTATTTTTCCTTTCTTTAACATTGTTCACAGAAAAGATTCATATTTTATATATAATGTACAATGCAGTCCAATTTTTCTCAGGCGTGGCTTAACAAATATTAATATTATTAGATCTACAGGGTTCAGATTTGACACAGCAAATTTTATGAATTACATCTGCTAGAGGTCTGAAAATACAGAATTGAAAAGTGTTTATTGAGCTGTATTCAAAGCATTTAACTTGAATTGGACTTTATTTAATCAAACCAAGGGTCGCCATGCTGTGATGTAATGTGCTGCGTTAAAAAAATGATTATAGTTTCGTTTAAGAAACTCATTTATAAAGTTTACTCTGTTTTGATTTTGTAGACAACAGTTCCTGCTAGTTTTGCAGGGAAAGATGAATGCCAAACCAAACTGAAATACATGTTTTGTTATCTTCCATGTTAGGATATACTGCTGTCAGTGAGTAGTGTCATCATAATTTGATAAATTGTAAAAGTGTGATTATCTGGGTGGAGCCTGGTTGTTAAAACCCTGATTAGAAAAGATGGTTACAAATATTCGAATTCGTAACCAACATAACATGTCTAGAGATTCAAAATTATCACCCGAAGACCAAAAAAAACCTACAAAAAAACTTTTTTCCAATCCGAGATTGTAAATTACTCATTGTATGAAAACTACATTGGAATTCTCAAGTGTGTTGCCTGCAGTACTAGTGGGACAGGGAGACTTAAGGATACGATGCTACCTTACTGTGATATCTACCTCCTCCCCAGGAGAGTTCATGGCAAGAATCCTTACACTGATAACATTGGACCGGTTGGACCCGAGTTGTTCGTTTATGAAATAAGGTCAGACCTAGTATTCTGATATGCTGCTTTCAGGTGATGAGCCTAAACATTTGAAGTTCCCCCAGGATTTATACCTTAANGGGGGGGAATTCTAAGGGAGATAATCATTACTCAAGAAGTACAAATTAAGTTGTTTTATTTATAGACTGAAAAATAGAAATTTTATGCAACAAACAAAATGGCAAATATTCCGTTTGTTAAAATTGTGTCAAATTATCGCATAATATTTTTCGTGAAAGTTTAGCTGCTTTAGAATTATGACAACTTAAGATATGAATAACAACAAACTTGTTTTTGTAACTGTAACTCGCATACTTGCATGTATTTTATGAATAATGGCATAATTGTCAATTCTCTATGAAGGCTCAGTGAAGTTTTGATAGTTGAAATTATCTGTCTCCTCCTGTTCTATACAGTTTTTAACACAAAAACACTCGGTCTATTCAAATGTTTCAAACTCGTATTTTTCTGATATTGTGTAAGCTGTGGAAACCGTAGCTTCTAGGTGCGATCAATTAAATATAATTTTGATTTTTTTTTTTTATATTTTATTCAGAAATTTTACATTATCAGACATCTACGGTCCAATAATAAAAGAAAATCAAAATTAAATTTAAACGATCAGACCTAGAAGCTGCATTTCCCACAGCTGATACTGTGTCTATTCTAGTCTTATCACAATTCTGGAATATGTTCCTGAAGGAAATGTCATACTTTTCTTCTTGTCAATCTGTGTATTCAACAGAATGATATTAAACACTGTTCAGCCAGTTTTGGTACATTACTTTTTCATAACACTGATGATTTGCTAGTATTGCCATTTTGATACCTATATTTTTACACGAGTTGCTATCCTCTTTTACTTCTTACTTTTTACTTTTAAAACATCAGCTCTTTCTTGTCAGTGTAATTCTATCAACGTTTCTTCAGCCTAAATATTGCTGATCCTTATAATTATTTAAAACATGCTGTCATGATTGGGCATATTGATTTCAGTTTTGGTTTATAAGTAAAGTTGTTAACTAAAGACACTCCAGTGTTAATATTATAGTGAACAACAGACTAAACTGTTATGTATAAGAGCTTGTTACGTGATCTCTGTGTGACCTGTAGTACAGTCATATCTGCTAGAGACACCAATACTATTACCTGGTAAGCCATTCCCTCTTCCTTTAGAGTCTGGAAGATTCTAGGTGCCAGTTGGGATCTTTTCATGCTCTCTTCATTACGGTTCTTTTCTCCTATCATACCTACCTACGATTTTTTTGATTTTTTTTTTGGTTCATCACATAAAATGGTCAGTATTATCACAAACTGTTGAATTAAACAATTTACGTGTATTGATTAACTGTATGTAGAAGTACTTCTTTAATGAAATTACATCTCAAGGGAGATGGCTTTATACCAGATTTAAAATCTTGTTGCCAGATCCTATAATATTCCTATTAACTTGTGTACTTATTATATAAGATATATGAAATAAATAATGTTTGAATCAATTCTCTCAATGATGATATTTCACTCATCCCTACAAAGCAGACTGTTTGTGTTCAGGGACCAGTTTCGTTCCCTTGTGTTGTCTAACTGTATGCTGATTACAGCAAAAGGACTAGAAAATGTGTTGCAATAATTAAAATAAATTATAATATATAATAGTTGTAGGCATTTTCATTATTTACTGGTTTATTAATGCCTCCAGGTTACTGTGAACTATACATATTTCATTGCTGTAATAGATATTTATCGACACTTATTTCCAGCAAGGGTCAACAGCTCCATTTAAAAGTTCATAGTCATGTGACTCAGTACAATGTACTGAAAATACGTTCCTGACCATAATATATGATTTTTTTCCCTCTACTTTCCTAAAACCTGCTTGCATGCATTACCGAGTTGTAATGATAATAATTATGAATCATCTATCAAGTACAAACATGCTTAATTTGTCAAACTTATAATCGTTGCCAAAAGCAGGATGCAACGTTATTGATTTGTCAGCCTATTTACAGCCAAACATGTACCTATCAAATATCTCCATATCATTGCCAAAAATTATAACTACGCATTGGTTTTTTTTTTTCTCTCTTTTTTTTCGTAATGGCTATAACTTTGATAAATTTAAAGAAAGACATACATGGTGGAACTTGTATAAAAAACGAAGGGTGAAATAAACAAAACATAAACAACAACAGTGTTTTGTGTGTAAAAAATAATTGGAGTTAGTTTTGGGATTTAAACCCTAGATCTAAGATTGTTAAAAAGTTGGATTCGAACCCTGGGTCTAAGATTGTTAAAAAGTTGGATTCGAACCCTGGGTCTAAGATTGATAAAAAGTTGGATTCGAACCCTGGGTCTAAGATTGATAAAAAGTTGCTCTTACTGACAAGCTAACTGGTCTCTGGAAGGGGTGTGGCCCAACTGTCCACAGTTTTATTGAAAATGAAACTAAGAGGAAGTTACAGCATGTATATGTAAAAATAAAATGGTCTCTTAACAAAAATCGTCACTTAACTCATTCACCCCTACATATTTAAATTGGACTTGCCCAGTCTATAATTTGGTAAGGTTCAAATGTGACTTTAGGGGTGAATGGGTTAAATTGAGGAATTGGCGTTTTTTTAGAGAAAGGAGTTGCTCACTAGGGGTAGTGTATCCAGGTTTCTTGACTTTAAATTAGATGGTGTTGTAGTATCAATCTGGTGTAAGATCCAGCTAGTGATTAAATACACTTAACTGTACACATGGACTATTTATATAACCATTCTGTAAATGTGTCTTGACCAAGTAGTAAGCGTTACAGGATGTAGAACACTAGGTTAGCCAGTTGTTGATGAAATGCTCATTGATCATGACTGCAATATCTAACACTGACTTAACTGAACACTATACTTGAGGAAACTTGTATGACCGGGCCCCAGGATAATGATACATATGCAAGACCACACACTTGTGTTTTTCTAACAAATCAGAAAGCACCAGTTTATTGCGGTGGATGAATATATACGTCCTGCAATAAATGAGTGCTTTCTGATTCGTTAGAAAAACACAAGTGTGTGATCTTGATTTTATCACATTCCTTCGGTATTTGGTAGAGATAGGTACAAAGATTTTATAAACTTTGATATTTTTTTGCAATTACCAGGAACTTTTCAGTTCCGGCTAGTATGGCCATATAACATCTTGTGATACAAACCGAGAAAGAAAACATCAACAGAAAATTGTTGTATTACTTTTGTAAAATTACATAGATAGGTGATAAAATACACAACCCCAAAGGTTACTGGTGTCAACTATTTTATTCCATGTCAAAATTAATTTTACATGTGTGTCATACTTGAGTATGAGCCTCTATTTCATATGAAATTGAAATAAATTTGATATCTATTTTTTTCACATAAAAAGTTTTTTTGCAAATATTGTGAAAAACACTCATTTCAAGGTCATTCTTTGAATCCCAAAATTCCACCATCTGGCTCTGTATCAATTGTCTTAGTTATAATGACGTGTTCCGGAGGTCTGTTACATCATTTCATTATTTTATGATGTCAAAATATGTCATCTTACATGAGTTAATCCTAAATTGATACAGATGTATTCACTGAAAAATATAGTAATCATGTGATATATACAACATATTGTTGATATTACTTTTCACCAAATTTAGAATGGTCTCCAAGTGAAGGAGTCATTGTATTCTAACCATTTCAGTTATCTCATTGTAAAGCAATGTAATTAACCCTTTCACCACTGTAGACCATAATGGACTCATCCCAATAAGTGCATGGTAGAGTCCACTTAAGTTACCTAGGGGTGAAATGGTTAAATCTGAAAACTGTTCGTCTTGGAATATTGGTCCAGCTGGTGTTCAGCTTGGACATGTTTCACTGTAGTTTTTATGAAGTAATCACAGAATATTTAAGTGATATTATATTGTTGATAATGATGTAATTGTTTTTAAACTGAAAACTTTATTTCGGTAGAATATTGGTCCAGGTGCCAATGTGGTTTCTCCTTAAGAGAAATTTCTGGTGAATCAGTTATAGACAGTGGAAGATTATTTATAATGATATATTGTTGTTAACAATATTTAGGATGGTTTATAGAGAGACATTGTTTATAAAATTGTCAAGGATTATGTCTAGAATGGTGGTAGCTTATTGTTGTTGCTCATACCATCATTACTAGCTGGTATGTGGGGGAGACGCAATGCCTGGTGGGCAGAAAATTAATAAAATATTTTAACTAAGAAGTATGTTTTCATCACGTTTTGTTATTTCGCTTATGCTGTTTACAAGATCCCCAATTATATATAATCAGATATTGATGCATTTCAACCTGGTATTGCTAACTATCAAACGCTAAGAACATGTATAAATTATTGACATCTTAAAACGTTCTTAAAATTATTGAAAAAGAAGTATTCAATAGATATTTAATCAAATCATTTTAAAGGTATTAAAGAAGGCTTGAACTTATCAGAGTGTGAAATTAAGAGTTTTTGGGCGATGGAAGTGGACCTGTCTGGGCGGCTTACCTAGTCTGCCATGCTAGCTTCTCACGACTCTAATAACCAGACATGGTACTGTTCTCAAAGGGCCGCAGTCATCTATCGCGATCCAAACGGTTGGACTCGAGCTCGAGTTGTTCGTTTATAAATAAGGTCGGACCAAGTTATCAATTCAAAGGTTGGAATAGTTCATCATGATTCTCCAATAACACTGAATCGAGCCATCGCCTTCTACATAACTCCATATCAAGAAATAACACAAAATCTCGAAAACATTGCCAGGGCTCCACCACGCCGAGAGCTAGTTTTATTTGTTTTACAAAAAAACATCAACAATCCTTACAACATACCAAAACACACCCCTCTCTCACCAGTGCATCCATGACCTAAACACCCTCCTTCTGCCATTCTTTATTCAAATACCCTACCATAATTAAAAATTTGTAAAAATATATATCTGCAAACTAGCACAGGTGTTTACCTGTCAACGTGTCTCGCTGAATGAGAAATACACGTGCATCGTGACTTTCCGCCACCCGATACTCGCACGCCACACAGCGGCCCTC